AAAAGAGAGATAATGATGACCTTGCCATCGCCTCCTTGGGGCAGCACTACAAGGATATGGCACTGCCGCTTTGCCAAGTGCACCAAACGGATTCAGAATGCTACTGACACCGAAATTGCCAATCTGCCAAAGTCACATTTGGCAGATGCCATTTCTCCAGTACAGCTTACACGCCAAAGGGGAAGCATGAACGACTCTTGATGGACTACACCAGGGCGCTTCTGCAAAGGAACATTGATCCCAATGATCTCAATCGCTGGCAACGATCTGCTGTATCTTGTGCTGCCTATCATGGATATCCAAAGCTACTCAAGCTCCTCATAGTGGATGCTAACTGTTCTGTCACTCTCGGGACTCCTCATGCTCTGATTGCACTGTCGAAAATGGTCAACATGAATGCATGACAATCCTGCTGGAGCACAGAAAGGAAGAACTTCTCACAATTCTGAACAAGGAAGAAAACGATGGTGCCAGCGACAAAATGATTCGAGGCAAGCATCCGGAAGCGCCCTGGAAAAGCTGTGGCACGACGGGATGTCACTTCGGTTCAAATTCTGAGGGATCAGGGGAACACCCGCATTTCGGATTCTTGCTACTGGTACCACAGACAAAAGGTTCTGCCAAGTCTGCTACAAGCCATGTATGATGGACACAATGAGAATATTTTGGCTGGAGCAAGTGTCTTCATTGGAGTTTTCCAACCACCGACAGAAGAATGATCAACTACACTGGCATTGATTGCACCAACAGTGACTTTCCCAAGGAAGTGTGGCTCAACATTTTGAGTTTCATGGGACGAGGTGGTGGATGGATGCATCCTCCTCTGCACGCCGATCCATTTCAGAGTCAGAGAGTGGAATGTCATTGACAGCACGAACTAGCTATATAGCTGGCTAGTTACTGCGCAAACACAACACAGTATCAACATCAATCGATCTATGCAAGCACGATGCTTCGACGGCGACTCGTATGTGTGAGCTCTGGGGGCGCGTTTATGAACTGGACTTGTTTCTATTTATTGGAACGTTCAGAAGGAACCACAGAGTTGACCAAAGGCATCACGAGGCAATGTCCAAAGAGAAATGGAATATGGGGACAGGATTGAGTAGTGGCCGATAATGCTGGTAGTGCTCTACTTTTGATATACTTTTGTGGAAAGAGACTGTGACGATTTTGCTTCAGTTGCACGGGGTCTCCAGCCCTTCATTTCCCTTGACATCCCCCGTTTCAAGGGACAGTTCTCATAAGTGGTTGAGCACATGTCGTGTGATGGAGTTACATTCAATTCAAAGTTGGCTCTTATACCTCCAACCGAGTTGAGCCTGATTTACGGGACCAGCAGTTCTCAAATTGGGAGCACATACGTTTGTGGAGTTGCATTCAATTCGAAGTTGGAGAACCGAACAAATGTGCTCCTATACCTCCAACCCAAGCTAGTTGAGTCTGATTTCACGGGACCGACGCGATGAAAGAGACGACGCAGGGGCCTTCGCCGCTTGGCCTTCCTTCCCAAAAGCAGCCTCGACAACCCACTGGGGTAGGCGAGGGGAACGGAGAGCCGGTCGCCTCTTCGATGCTTGATTGCTCGTGAGCCACCTTGTTCCGACGCCGATGATACGAATTCTTGGTAGTGTTGGCGTGCGCAGCTCCCGGTACGATTGCAAGCATCCCCTCCAATGCTGCAACTCATCAAACGACAGAATCCCGTGTTCAGATGGCCGCGGACTTAGCGGGGTGTTGCAAACGATTGAATTGCACTCCGTTTCTCATGAGAGTCAGGTCTGTTTCTACCGTAAGGTATCCTTAGCACTGCGTGGATTGAACCGCATCCGCACCCTCCCACGCCTATCGAACGAATCCAGTCGAAACGGACATGCGCACACTGAGAATGAGAGAACGACAGGGGGGACTCAAGAGGTTTCGATGCTACTGTTACTAAAGAAGACTGGAAACTGTCCTAGATAAAGAATCGAATCATGCTGAGTTCGACCAACAACCTTGATCGATCAACGAGTTTCACATCCAACGTATGATACGTGGGGCGAATCTGATTCTCAAAAAAGGCCACCCCCAAGCCCCGACGCCCTCATTTGAAACGGACTAAACGGAAAGCAACAGCAGCAGACGCAACGGTTCAGTCTCGTGTTGTTGCATCACTGTCAATCAATCTACCCGTCAGAGCTTTGCGTCTGGCCTCATAACAGTGACCAGGCCTCGCAACAGTGACCAGGCTCATAATCAGCTTTCTTGCGCATCAGAGGCCAAACCTTTCTGATCGCCACTATGATGAAGGTTTGGTCTTTCAACGAGTGGTTGAAGAAAGCACGTCGTCCCCCAACTAGTCGAGTTGACGACAACGGTGGGGAAAGACATGACGAACATGAGCGCAAGGTTTTAGCCCTCTTTCGCTACCTTCCTTTGGTGGAGGATGCTGTCTCCCAAAAAGTCAAAAATCCATCATTCGTGCGAGATATCAACGACACGAACGTAGGCAACAGACAGCTCTACTTCTTTGATGGCGTTGAGCAACGGAGTGTGCCCATTGACCAGAGCAACAGGGCTGAAGCAATGAAGCGGATGAAGGAAAGATGGAAGGCAACGCCACAGAAAATGGGAAACTGCAGGGCGGCAAAGCGAAGACAGAAACGAGCCCGAAGCTCACCAAAGAAGCTCTGCAGGTAGTACTCAAGGACTGTGAGATACCTCACACTGGAAAAAAAGACGACTTGGTCAAGCGTGTGCAGGAAAATGCACATAGTTCGCCGGTCTCTCCAAAGAAAGACAAGTTGGTCAAGTTTATGCGAGAATATGGCATTGATGACGAAACGCCATCTGTTGATGTTAGTGAGAGCTATGACAAAAACAGTTTGGGGACCCTCAAAAACAACGACCTCAAGGCAATCCTCAAGGAGAATAGCCTTCCGACTTCGGGCAAGAAGGCAGACTTGCTTCAGCGTTTGCAGGCAGCTGGTGTTGGCTCTGCAGAAAGTACCGGTAGCCATAAAGCATCCGCAAAGGTTGGCGGACGAAACGAAAGGTCGGAGAAGCCAAGCATTGAGTTTGGGGTGCTCTGCACTTCTCAGACCTTCTTGGGCTCTCACCGGGATGGTCAAGCTTCTCATTTCTCCTTGCACGGATTGAAAGAGAGTCCCAAGGATGATTCAGGAGGTGGCAAAGCTTCAAGCAGTAACGTCGCCTCGGCTGCACTCGAAAGAAGCACCCCACCACGCCAACCTGCAGCCTCGGACAAGAAGGCGCAGGTCGATAGCCCTGCGCCTGTGCCTTGCTGGTTGTGCATCAATCGATGTGAGTCCACTGATCCCCTGGGTCCTCTTTATCGCCAGCTCTATGAATGGTAGCAATTATGCCGGAAGCAGGGTCGAGTGGGCGATATGGTGCTGCGATTTGGGCATGCCTATATGATGAATGCAAAGACACAGCAAATCGTAAGTGGTCCCATCTTCGAAGTCCTGATGGAAGCAGAGTTGAACGATGTCGGATCAATTCAGCTGCGCCCACGCCCCCAGTCAGGGGTTCGAATGAATACAGGTGATGTCTGCTTTGATGGTGGGCGATGATCTGCAATGTAAAGATCCAACGCTGGTGGAGGAATTGCACCATTTCTTTGCTGAACAAGAGCCCCTCGACATGGTTCCTGGTGATCCCAGCGGATCTATTCACCAACTTCTCGACGAACTTCAAAAAAGAATGTCTTGGAATGCAAAGGCAATGCAAACAGACGAATTCCTCAAAGCTGGTGCTGCTGTGGACAAGTACACGATAGTCTGCTCGCCCGCTTGGTGCCTGTACACACGTCCGTCGACAACGGAGGCTCATTCCCTGGATGCTGATGTTCTCGCCGACAAATTGACCGAGGGCAAATTGAAGTTGCCTGTGGCTGCTTTGGGGATCACGCACAAACCCGAGGTACTCAAAGATAGATTGGCATCTCTGAAATTGAAAGGAAAAGAGCGGCATGATACTACTAGTAGCGGCAGCCCATCGGCGGAGGGGGGCGACGAACCTCCAGCTAAGCCTGAGGTCGATAAGTCAACTGACAGCTCGGTGGCTCCCGCATTGCCCAAGCCGCTTGTGTTTCCGCTCCCTGCGTCAGATATCCAACAAAAGATTTGCGAGAAGCTGCTGGTAGAGGCATATCCGGTCTGTTTGGCCCGAGGGCCTCCTGGTAAGTGAATCCTGCTTGATTGATCATGCATAAGTTAATTGCAGGCTCTGAGCGTCTAACCCGGTGCTCTCAAATCTACAGGTAATGATAAAACACACACAATTGCCAATGTCATTGCGATTTTCCTTTGGAAAAACAAACAAACAATATCTTTATAACGGATATGGTGTCGATGGGCAAGCACTCCTGCACTGGCAATCCCCCCAGGCCGAAGCGAGGGTTGATCTCACAGAGAGGCAGCCAAGGGCACCCTCACCGGCATCACACTCCCAAAGGAGATGATGCATTTATGTATCACTACAGTATTTTACATTGGCAGACTCTCAGAATCCGAAGGAAAGCGGTGTCTTGTACAGTCCCTCAGTAACACAGCTCTGCGTGAAGTTCGGGAGAGACTACCTCCTAAGCTTCGGGTGCTCTGTGTCTCGTGTGATGGAGAGCTGCACAAGAGCTTAGAAGCTCTTGAGCATGCACTATCGAGCGTTGAAGACTCCAAATGGCAGTATGAAGAAGATCTTAAGGTAGGCGCGATACGACGAGAGACCAGTTTCGTTGACCTGCTGTATCGTTTACTCACGTTTGTTCCAATTCATCCTGTGCGAGCAGCGGTTTGAGGCCGAACTGAAATCCACACAAGAGAAGCTATGCGAAATTGATGCCGACCTCCAAAAGGGAAATGACAGCAAGAGGCGTTTCATTGACTCAAGCAAAGGCCAGACATTGCTGGGGAAGTTGGTTGAAACACACGGATGGATGGCAACTGCGGCAGTAAAATGGGACGCCACAAAGTTGGATGGTGTTGTAAACAGAGTACGTGAGCTTGCTGAGCGACCCAACAAGCTGAATAAGACAATCCTTGGGAACGGCGCACTAAAGCTGGATACAGAGGATGGCTGTCTTAACGAGGCTATGGCAGTCTTGACCTTCCAGACAGATTTGTCCACATTCCATGCTGAAGCTGGGGCTGATCTTATCAAATTCGGTTGCCAAAAGGACGAAATTTACTCAAAGACTGGATTCATCTCCCCAAAGCTGTTGGGCAGCTTGGAATCTATCCGAGAGCTCATGAAATCCGTCACAGAAACCGAGACGGCTGATTTCCAGATGCGTGGAGACGGTGGGTTAGGTGAACCCTGCATAGACATGGAAGCCAGACGCCGAGAGCTCACTGCAGAGATACAGAAGATCGCATTGAAAGTGGTCGAAGTGAAGGCGTTGCTCAATTTAAACAACCGCATCTCAGAAGACCAGCGCAGTGATCTTACTTCTTTTGTTGGGTTGGCCCGTGACGTCAAATTTGGGCCTTCCTCACGAGCGGAATGCCAGGATCACTTCAAAGCTTGTGCCAGTTTTCTGCCGTGCTTGATGATGACGTCTGAACAGGTTAGCCAGTACCTGCCAGCCACAGATCACACTTTCGATCTTGGCATTTTGGACGAAGCATCTCAGTCTCGCTGTACGGCTATTACCGGGCTTGTCCGCTGCAATCAGTGGCTGTTTGTTGGAGATGGAAAGCAAACTAGCCCATGTGTATTTGGTGGCACGACTAGTGACAAGTTCTCTGTGTTGGCTGGTATGGCACCAGCTATCCCTCCCAACATTCGACGGCTGCTGCGGCCAGATTACAGCATTTTTGATATCTTCGAGGTGGCCTTTCCTAAGCATGCCTCTTTCAACTTGCCAGAACATTTCCGGTGCGCCCCTGAGATCATCAAGTGGTGCAACGATGAGTTCTATCAGGGCAAACTCATTCCACTTCGGTATCCGACAAAGAAGGAAAAGATTGTCCCTTCACTTGTGGATGTCCGCTTGGAGGAAGGACTCCGGGACAAGAAAACTAAAACGAACGAAGCCGAAGTGAATGAGATTATTCGAATTGTGGCACACCTTCTTCAGACCCCCCTGATTGCTGAGCGTCGGAGGTCGATTGGCATTTTATCACTTGGTGGCGAGGAGCAATGCAGGCAACTGGACAAAAGATTGCGTGAAAAGGTTGGCCCACACGCCACAATATCTTGGTTGGCGAGCCGACCACGTTTCAAGGCGCGGAGCGCAATATCATGAGCATGGTTTACAGCCCCGAATCGATCTTCCATGGTTGTGATTCAGACCAATCAAAGCGCTTGAACGTTGGAATGTCCCGGGGTACGGACTGCACTATTCTCGTCCGCAGTGTTGACAGCCATCACTTCCGTCCTGGAAATCTCCGGAGTAGTCTTATTCGATTCTTTAACAACGCCAACACAAACCGTCCCTGTGAGATTCGTGCATGTCTGGCGCCAGATGCGCCACCTTCGTCTATTCGAAGAAAGCTCACGAACAATTTGGCTGAAACGCTCGAGAAACGTGGGTTTGCTGTTGAGAGTATCAATGTCATTTGGAAGCATGCTTTTGTGGTGGAACACGAAAACAGTGACCATCGCGTGGCAGTGTGTTTCGACAACATTGGTGAGTCGCGCAAAGAATGGGAAAGCATGATCTCGCGCCAACGAGTGATTGAGCGCATTGGATGGACATGCCTTCGAGTGGATGGCCTGTCGGTTTTGATGGACTACGAGGCGGCAATGCAGGGAATTCTAAAGTTCTTGGCTGATGCTGGAGTGCACGTTGAAATGAAAACGATGGACACTTCTGCGCAGTCGTCTGGCCCAACAGATATCTCCAGCATCTTTGAGAAAGTGAACTCGCCTGAAAGCTCCGCCTCGGCAGGCCCACCAAGCCTCAAGGCAAAGTTAGAAATGACCGAGGAAGACCAGCTCAACAGTGGTGGCAACAAACGATCTTTGGACTCGTCATTGGAGAGCACCAAACGTCAGCGAAACTGAAGGTTCTCACAGGAGAGGAATTGGAGCAGTGCTGATATAGCCGTGCCTGAAATGGTTTCGTGGTCATTGACGTTGTATTGACAACTGCGGATGCGTTTCTCTAACGGGAGCAAACCCCTTAGCATCTCATCCTAATCTAGACTCAATCTTGTATGAGCAACCGTGTACTAGCTAGTCAGAATAATTGGATTCAGGTTGCGAGTCTTGAGATGCTTTACCTGAAAGCTCCAGCATATTGTGCACATTCCAGCTACCGGTACTGTGTTGGTCACCGAGAGATTCCACATGACGCAGATTCAGGTTTGCTTTCAGGGCTGGATCAATGCTCAGACTCTAGAAGAACAAGGGAGCACACAGCTGTTGGAAGCCCCACAATGATGTTGCTCTCCACGGAGAGCTCGAACTGTTCATTGGGCATGCTTCGTTTGGGCATGCTCCGTTGGGTTTAGAAGACGAAGATCGAGCTACATCGTTGAGCACGGGTGTGCCTCCACGAGCCCAGAACCCACTTGGCTGGAAATATGGCAAGCAAAATCCTAATTAGCTAATTAGTCGCCGCCCACTTCATCGCTGCATGGCTGCAGCAGGCGGTGGCAGCGATCCAGAAGGCACGGTCCTCCTCCTCCCTGGTAACTAGCAGTGCCGTATCCGTACAAAAGAAAACTGGTCTGGAAACATGGCAAAGGCCCTTCTGGGTATTGACTAACTACGGTAGTATCGGCAATCCTTCCCTCTAGCGTATGCTAGGAGCCTAAACCTCGCTTCCACCTTGCACCTCAGGCCCACTTCACGGCAGCTGACAAAGAAAGGCGCCGCATCCTCACACCCAAAGAAGTGGGATACGCGAACAAGCGAACAAGGCAATGGAGAAACCCACTCCCGAAACAGGCAACAAGATCAACCCAAACGGCAAGGGCACACCAATGTACTTTGCTGGTCACATGGCCTCGGAACCAACACCAACCACACCAGCAAAGATTGCACGAAGAAGGCACCAGGACACCGTACCAATACTGAAGCCATGGCTGGCAAAGCAGGAGAAAGGGGTGTCTATTTGTCTATAGACGTCCCCAGCGCCCTGGCAGAGAGAACGAGGAAAACCGGCAGCCACCTACCAACCCTTCACTCGAGCACGACGGGAGCCGATTCCGAAGGTACCGTACCACAACAACAAACCAACAAACCAACAAACCAACCCCACATCCTGTAGCATGTTAAAAAACCTAGCGGGATAAGAAAAAACCTAATAGACAGGGAAAGCCATTAATTAATGGATCGTACCAGTTCCCTTTTCCGAAGCCGTTCCCAACGCGTACTGGTACGAGAGAGTACAGAGTATCGGATGATCACTTTTAAAAAGGACGAAGTTCTCCATTCAAAAAGCGGGCTCAGTCATGGTAAATTGTTCGCCTCACATTTTCAAGCCATTTACGCTGTCGAGTTATTGAAAAAAGTGATCGCGATTTCGAAACCAAATGACATTCGATCCGCCTAATCCTGTTGGTAACACGAGGACCACGGGGAGCACATTGAAGTGATTTGAGAGCCTGAAAGTGATACCATTGGAAAATCCATCCCTTGTTTGGTCAGTGCATACCTCACCTTGAATTTTGCAAGCCTTCCAGTGAAGATTCATTAGCAGCTAGCTCCACAAAATGGCAATTTCCCCACAAACCAAGACACTACCAGGACAATGGCAATTCAGGAAGACTAAAGAAAGTTAGATCTTTTCTAAGTAAGTGAGTAGGGTGTGAGTTGGGGTGTGTGTTGAGAAGGTGAGTTCCCATAACTGGAAAGTGAGAGCAGGCAGTGCAAGAGCAACCCACTTGCACCAAAACACTGCACCTTCTTCCACCTCGACCATCGAGTGGGCTTACTGGTCTAATCTTGCTTTGGGGAGCAGGAACAGATACATGTAGATGAAGACGAGCTCTACCGTACTCAGCATTAGAGCACTCGGAGTGCTCTAAAAAGTACGGTATTGTGTACTGCATTGAGAGTAATGAGAGTTACGGTACCCAAATTCCTTGAACAATTCCTCGATGGCCGAGAGGTTTGAGCCTGGCGGTGAAAGGGGGTGAGGGGAGCGGAAGGTGTTCCCTCTCTGAAAGCTATTCTGCGAAAGGACGGACACAAGCCGTTGGTGTTCTAGCTACCGTACCTTTGCTTTGGTCCTGGAATGCAAATTGGGGAGACAGTTTTCTTAACAAAGAGGTGATAAAATTGTAAATTTCTTTTCATCAGTCCATGCCCAAATACATGAACTATGGACTGATGAAAAGCTATTTTGAATTTGGACCTTCCCCAGTCTCCTACAGGCCTCCCCATGGTTGCGCTTTGCTGTGCCATCCCAAGCCGCCATATCTAGGCAACCGTATCTCAGCCAAAACTCAACCTTTTTCGAAATTTTTTGCTTGGAATGATATCTACTCTTTTTGGAGAACTCAGAACTGTCTATTATCTTGAAGATAATAGGATTCCTAGAACACCCATATTCTAGGTGGGTAGCTTTACAGGGGCATATCTACCTGAAATATGGTGGGGCAAATCAATTTTGAGGTTTTTTTCATTTTTCTCATTTATTAATCTAAACATCTAAAATTAAAAAATTTGAAATTTTTTCCTACATGACACCACTTAACCAAAGGTACGGTATGGTACGGCAGCTGTACCTGGGAGCCTGGGAGCTCGAGCAGCAAAGATCCAGTTTAATTTACCAGTAACAGTACTCCGGAGTATCAAAACCAGTGAATCTTCCTTTATATCCTAATCGTGCCTTGCATTGTACGCGCTGCCCCAAGTGCTCCCAAGGGAATGGAACAACTGGAAACCGTTCACGTGTCCTATTAGTAATCGTCCTTGATCAAAATCATCCCCTAATTCGTTGACGACTGCGATCTAGTAAACCACAAGCACATCACGTGAATACTTCTGGGAAAGCTTTAAAGTCCGTCTTGAGAAGGTTGAAGGGGCTGTGCTCCAACGAATTATTGGCTCTGCTGGAGAACTTTAGAGGCAACACGACGCAATAACTCTCATTCCACGGTTTTCTTCCACGATCTGCAAAGCGCTGGCCATCTTTAAGGCTTTACGACGGTGATACGAAAAGACTAGGCGAAACACTGCGGGATTGGGTTCCCTTTGTGTTCAAAAAGTTGCGAGTGGCCAGATTGATTAAATTTGAATGAGCTATTGAATGGTTGATCCCATCCTTTGATATCGATCTCATCCTTCCCCAACCATTGCATGCATGCACAGACTAGCTAGTAAATGAGCATACTAAAACTCGTCTCGATTGCATGCATGCTGCTTGCATACAAGCTCTGTCACAAATCCATCCAGCAGAAGCAGCAGAAGAAGACAACACTAATGGCAATCCGAAGAAGATGAATCCATCAAACGAAATTTATAGTGGCGATGCTCAAAGTCGTATCGGTGAGTCTACTAGAGACGTCGATTATCAGCCTGACCCGCATCTTCAAGAAGAACAAGGAGATCTCAAGAAAGCAAACTATACCGCTCCCAATCAAAACCCCGTACAGCTGGCAACAGATCTCAGTGAAACTGCCAGCATGGAATTTCTGGCAAAGAATGCACACGAGGCAAAGGTAACAGACACAGCGCCACCAGGAAATACCCACCAGCAAGGAGAAATGATAACCCCATCCAAACAGGTAACCAGAACTCGTCCCGGGATTGATAATCTTGCCCAGGCCAGTATGCCGGACGAGCACACAGAAGGGAACTTCAGGCTCAGTGACAACCGTACTACCAACAATGCGGATTATGCTTTTACAGAGCTTGCTAGCATGGAAGCTCGGCTCAGTGATACCCAACACAGTGGTCTGCTATCAACTTTCCCAAAAGAGCAAAAGAGACAGACTGCCGGTGCCCCAGGTATGCCCGCCAAAGGGTTGCAGGGAAACACAGGGCTGACAGCTCTGGGGGCACATCATATAGAACCAAGTGCTGATGTGGGTGGTGCTCGTCCAGTGTTGCGCGGGCTTGGCAAAAACAGGCCTGCAACTGTAAAGGCAACCATTGCAACATGTTGTATCAAGCCACAAATTGTCCTCCAAGAACAGAACCTAGAGCAAGGAAAATGTCCGCCAACTGTGTTGTCTGTTGCAGAAAGTGGCCAAGCAGTAGACAAGAAGTACTATCCAATGGTACCAAGCCAGCCAACAAATGGACCTACCACTCATCGAGCTTTATGGGATGATTTTGCAGAAGAGATCGAGCCAATCCCAGTGGCACCTACGGCATTGCACCGAGAAGCCAACGCCCGGCCTGGAGCCTACATGGGTACAACCTTGCAGCGTGTTCAAAGTCTTGATTTTGAGCTTGTGGGTAACAGCAACAGCGATGAAACTGAACCCGTCAATTCCTCTTCAGTTGCAATCGACCACGTGTTGGACCCGGCCCTATTTCCCAATCAAGCAATGCGATCAGGCGTTACCATGGACCACTTGGCAGTGGCTAACCGTGTCATGGACGACCCAGAAGATTTAATGCGTGCGGATCCGGTCGATTTGGAGGAACACGAGAAAAGGAAACAAGAAACACTAAAATGGAGTCAAACACTCCTCTTTATTCTGTTTCTGGTAGTCTGTGCTGTGGCTGCCATTATCGGGACTGTGGCTGGAACAGCTGGAAAGAACAATACAGTTGTTGTGTACCAAACACCATCTCCTACTGTCTTTGGCTCCATGACTCCTTCTGGAGTACCATCATCAGCCCCCACAGGAGTTCTGGACTTGATGTTGGATAATCTGCCCGATCACACCTTGGCTAGCATCAACAATGGCAGTGAAACTCCTCAGTGGAGAGCATGGAATTGGCTAGCCAATCACCAAAACATCACATGGCTACCAGAATGGAGAAAGGAGCAGTTGTTTGCTCTTGCCACCTTCTTCTATGCCTTTGAGGGAGACAAGTGGAACCCTCTCATAAAGGAGCGATGGATGGATGACAAAGTGGAGGAGTGCAACTGGTTCTCCAGTGGATTTGGATATTTCTATGGTGCAAAATTCTACGAAAGTCCCCATACGTTTCCCTGCAACAGCCATGGTAAATTCACCTCTCTTTGGTTGGAAGAGCTTGAGCTTTCTGGTTTGGTGCCTTCTATTCCCCCAGAGATTGCCATGTTGACTTTGTTGTCACAGCTTGATTTTGGTTCCAATGAGATTGGAACATCAATGTCCTCTCTGATTCCACTAGAGCTGTATAGGATGACTGCATTGACTGGGTTGTTCTTTTTCAACGATCAATTGACTGGACCACTCCCTTCTGAGCTTGGACAGCTTACTCCTTTGGATACATTGCAGTTGTTTGGAAACAGTTTGACTGGTCAGATTCCTTCGGAGCTTGGTCAGCTGAGTGGTTTGACTGACTTGCAGTTGTTGAAAAACCAGTTCACTGGGCGAATCCCTTCCCATCTTGGACTACTGACACAAATGTTGTACTTGGGGTTGAGTTACAACCAGTTATCAGGTCCAATTCCTTCGGAACTGGTAGGACTCACTGCTTTGGTGGAATTGAATTTGCGTGACAATGAGCTAAGTGGGCAGGTTCCCTCTGAGTTTGGACAACTCACCGCCTTGCGTCAGTTTCATTTGAATGAAAATGAGTTAACTGGCCAAATCCCCTCTGAAATGGGACAAGTGACTGCTCTGACAAGTTTGGGCTTGAGTGAAAATCAGTTGACTGGACATGTGCCATCAGAGCTTGGACTGCTCACAGGCTTGGATCGGTTGTATTTGAAAGAAAATCGACTCACTGGCCAGATCCCCTCTGAGTTTGGACAGCTGATTGGTTTGACATTCTTGCATTTGGATGGAAACCAGTTGACCGGACCTGTGCCCTCCGAGTTGGGCCTTTTGTTAACAGATTTGGGTTATCTTGATCTTACTGGCAACCCTGGCTTGTCCGGCACAATCCCCGAGGAGCTATGCTCCTTGCAGAATGTGTCTTGTACCTTTGGTTTGGATTGGCCCTGCAATCTTGGGTTTGACTGTACATCTATTCTGTGTGGATGTGATTGTGCCTGTTCCAATTCTTCTTTGACAGAAGGGGGATAATTTTACATAAGATTGTATGCTTTTAAATGCTGGAGAATGTCAAGTTGAGTGAGGGTTACCTCACTCCTTGGCCGACAACAAACCCGTCGCTACAATAGTCTAGTCCTCCAGTTCAAAGCAGCCATTTTATCTTGAAAGGAAGTAGTAGAGCGATTGCTTGGAGGCTTGTTGATGGCTCTGTTCGTCTTGGTACGAACGAAAAGCATGCTCCCTTTTGGCGGTTCGCCAGTTTTATCAAATGGTTAAGAAGGGCCCTCGTGGACGAGTCGAGATACATGATTGGTTATTACCGGTACCATGTGTTGTGGCGAGCACCAGCCTCTGGTTGGCATTGGCGCTCTCTGTGCACATCATTTGAATGACGGTGCAAATCAAATCATGTCCTCAGCCATGGAAGGCGTCGGCAACGTGCACCCGATACAAGGCGAGCAAGAATGATCATTCCACGCTGCTCGACTCCACGATCTCTACATCTCTTCCCTCTACCCGTCCATCACCCCGATTGGTACCAAAAGCATTATGCAGAAACGAGGTTCGTTTTGCGTGGAACCGCTCAAACCCACGACTGATGGGCTCGCATACAACGATCTGTTCGATCACAAGGATCCACAATAAAAAAAAGGGGGGTTTTAGAGTAGGGAAATTATCTACGGAAGCCAGCCGGGGCCAGGCTTAAGCAAAGAACCGTCGAAATTCAGGACTAGGTTCTGTGGGATCAGGGGCAAGAAATTGAGGACCATTACGGGGGGCAAAGGGACTAAAGTTTGGGGGGGATTAGAGTAGGGAATTGACTTGAGCTGACCGCATGCAGCAAAGAGCTCTCAAACGACACGAGGTCAATCGAGACACACCTTCAAAGAGCCCTTCTAAAGTTGTAGCTCTGTCTTTGCATGTTGCTGATCAGACATCAGACCCACGCATAAGTTGAGAAACAGCAAAAGCTTCCACCACCCATGGCGATGAATATCTTTCGCCTCTGTGGCGACATGTCGCACCAGTTCGCCATTGTGCTCTTGATCGTCCAGCTTTTGAAGGCCAAGAATGCTAGAGGTGAGTGATGAGGCATGATGGACGTGTGCGTACTGTACTGTAAAGCAGAGTGCTGAACTCATCTCACCCGTCGATCCTCCTGATGTTCTGACTTTCTGCGCCCGTAAATAAACAAATACTTTAAGGAATTTCCGTCAAGACGCAAGAACTGCGCCTCTTGGTGTTTCTTACACGATATTTGGATCTCTTCACAACCTTTTATTCTCTCTACAACAGCTGTATGAAGTTTGCGTATATTGCGGAAACAGTCGCCATCATCTACATGATCAAGTTCTGGGAACCCATCCAGAGTTTCTATAACGCGGATCAAGATTCCTTTCCGCATTGGAAATATGCCGTTTTGCCTTGCAGTCTAGTTGCCCTTGCCACTCATTTGATTGGAGGTGGCACAAGAAACTTTGATCTCATGGAATTGCTCTGGACATTCTCCATCTACCTAGAGAGCATTGCCATTTTACCACAACTATTGGTCCTGCAAAAGTACGGATTGGTCGAAAACCTGACGGGCAACTTTGTCTTTTTCTTGGGATTCTATCGGTTCATGTACGTTATCAACTGGATCTACAGGGCCCACACGGAAAGGGGGTACCAGCATCATTATGTCGTCTACACGTGTGGGATTGTCCAAACCTTGCTGTATGCCGACTTTTTCTATCAGTACTGTCGGGCACGTTGTCGACCTGGCCGGGCAACCGGTGGTGACGATAATGATGACGAAGAAAAGGCAGGAAACCTCGTCTTTGAGTTTGTGGGAACCCGCAATCATGGTGGCGGTGGTGGTGCTGTGGGATACACCGCCGGCACGGAAAGTCTCTTGACGGAACACAGTGACCCTTCTTTGGTAGTACCATCCCCTGCAAACAACGAAGACATGTCGTCCAGCGAAGAAAACGACGGCTCGGTTCGACAACGATAGGCAGAAGAAGAACGATGACAGTACTGTACTACCTATATAGATGTGATGTAACGTAACAGAGCTTTTGCCTAACCAGTTAAAATTATCTCGGCGTGGATGCCTCTTGTCCGCGACAGAATAGTGGCACTAGCTTGAGAGGTTTGAACTGTAGGCATCTGAGCCACGTTGGGGAAGAGCAAAGGAGCCAGTGGTTTGATCGACCGTTGCGGTCGGGTCGTTGTGCTAAACAAACAGGCAAGGGTTGACACAATCAACGTCTCTCTCTCTCTCTCTCTGTGTCCTTGCCTACTATAGGTTTTCATCCCCATCATAGAACCGATAGACGACAAACTCGGCACACCGAAAGTCACCAAAGTTGAGCTCCTTGCTCACCGTTCGGTACCCCAATTGGTAGAGACGATCAAACAAAGCCACAACTGCCTCTCGTCCTTTTTCCTTCACCAAATGGGGTGGAACGTAACCTGGATTAGCATGGCGAGTGTGCAACTCAAACGCCATTTGGCGAGGGAGATGCTCCGTAGACTGCAAGATTGAGTCAAACAGTTTCCATTCGAATCCTTCAATGTCAAACTTGAGCAGATCCACTTCTTCATGGTGCAACCGCTCCATAATCTCTTCCAATCGGACCATGTTGGAAGAGAATTTGCTCATGTCGTAGACATTGCTCTTTTTCAGTACATCTTGATCGACAGCATCTTCTTCTCCGACACACCAGGGATGAAAGGCCAAGTTGACGATATCCTTTTGATAGTCTATGAATCGGGTCAACGCATCCACGTCGTTCATGGTACAATCAAATGAATGCACAGCACAGCCTGTATTCTTTTGTGCCATGGTCACCTCAAAACTCGTTTCGTAAGCAATCCCTGCCCCGTAAATGACACAATCCCCATCCAATTTGCCAAAGAGCGTTTCACCGACCAAAGCCTTTTTGCTTTGACCATTTCCATCCCCTGGTTCCATTAGGTGCGCCTCCAAGTCGACTGCCACAATGATTTCATCAAAGACGGGATCTTTCTTTTCATCCATGACGGGCTCGTATCCCGGTGCAGTGAATTTGGTCATGGCCTCTCTCAAGAGTTTCCCTGCCTTTAACTGCAATGCCTGATTGGCTGGACTGTTGGCACTTTCTAGCACTTTCTCGCGAAACTCTTGTCGTAGCTGAGCATTCTTGTCGTTTCCTTTTTGCTGTTCTCTCTTCTCCTTTTCCCACACGTATTGTCGTTCTTCTTGCGGTCGAATCAAGGCATCTCGTGACATCCAGCTTCGGATCGGTGGCTTTTGGATGTTGGCAGTATCTTCCTTCGGAGGTATGGACAAGGAAACGGCAGGTTTGTCGTTGTTGTCTTGCGGTGGCGGGGGTAGAGGTGGAGTGGTCTTTGTGTCTGACTGGCTACTTGTTTGTTTGGCCGATGCCACCAATTGACTTTGGAGTTCGGGCCTCAGTGGTGGTGTTGGCAGGCACTTCTTCCCGTGTATGATATTTGGGCTATGGTTACAGGCCCTTTTCCTGTTTTGTGCGACTGTTTGAATCATTTGTTTGAGTGCCTTGTCCAAACTCTCTTCTGTAGATTCGTGTGTTGTTGCTGGTGCCGTGAGCACATCCTTGTAGGAATCATATATGTCTTTGTGCATGACAGACGGCAAATGATACCCAATCAACTGGGACAGGCTTCCAGACAGTTTCATGGATTTGGGATTGTAACGGAAGTATCCAAGGCCTCCTGCCTCTTTTAATATTATAGATCGCGAGCAAGTGTGGCAAGAAGAAACTGTGAACCATACCGTCGATTGGATGCCAACAACACACAATAACCTACAGTACTTACCTGGAAACAGTAACGGGATCAAAATGTCGCATTTGGACACGGATTGTTGGAATCCAATGAAGCTAGACTGGTTGGCAATGAAAACAAAATCGTCAACTTTGTTAATGACATATTCTTGTATCATCCCAAATCGATGATGCAAATGCAGTTCAACATGTTGTCGGTAATAATTGGCATCAGCCCCAAAGACAGATGCCAGCCTGGCATGACTTTTGGCTGTTCCAATGGTACAAAGCCGAATTTTATCGTTGTTTTTGTTGTTTTGTGGCTGTTGGCATCGTTCTGAATCTGGAAACATGGGAAATATGTCTGCCATGAAGTAGCATGTCTGATTGTGCATGGGGTTGAGCCAACAGGACCTTTTTCTGGTATTGTCATCACAGAAGGTTTCACTGATATCGCACGCTGGAAATACAAAAAAGAGGATGATAGAGATCAGATGAGATCAAAGACTGGATTACAATGATTGACAGAATGACAGAAGTAGAACTCACAGACATGCTGTACACAAAAATGAAAGGGGCTGCGATTGACGAACCCTTTGGGATCAATGGTACCACAACTGACAGCAATTTGAGCTGCATATATTCCCTCATACTTTTCCATTTCCCATGGACTGCCAACATCCCCAATGATGGCCATGACATTTTCGTATTTGGTATTGGTAGTATTGCGTTTGCTTTCCGCCACCATGCGACGTCGTGGGACTCCTTGTAGATAAGAGTAGTAGTATGCCTTGTAGGTGGGCAATTCCTTGGCCTTTTCAGCATGGAGGGTCATGGCAATGTCAAAAACGACTAAGGAAAGACCACACAAGACAAGGCACGTGTGAGGACAGGGCATGGATGGATGGCGCAACATACGCAATCCGCAAGTAAGTAGTCTCAGTTTACCATACCAACGTTGCTCTTTGTGAAATCACAGGGCATGTCATCCCACGGGAGTGGATATTTGAGGACAACGCTCTCCAGCAACTCATAGTGATAATCCGGGTGATTGGCTACCAAGACACGGCAGGCAATGTCATTGCCACTATTGTAGTCTTTTCTAAGGGTGGGAGCAGTGTCTCCCTTGGCACTGTTGTCATGGGGATCACTTCGAGCAAACGTGCCTGGATCTTCCTTCTCAAGAGGAACATTGGCAGTCAGTAGAGAACTCTTGTCAATTTCTTCTTGTGAAATACAGACTGTGCTCTCATGCTGCTGCTCGTACTTGCTGGCATAAGCCTCGGTGCTAGCAGTTGTGGTACCGATAGTTGTGGTGGTGGCCATTGTGTCTTTCAAAGTGATTTTGATGCTACCAAGAAGGCGATCTGTTTGGGAGCGAAAGTACACAAAGCAGAAACCCATCATCACCAAGCCCAAGTTCAGCAGGAAGCGACGAACGCTGCATAAACCCACACTCGTCGTGCTGCCGTTGCGTCTTGCTGCCGTTGCCCCCTTTTTCTTTGTACTACCAACATTGTACCGAGATTTGGGCATGGTTGATTCACCACTAGCTAGCTAGATAGGTACCAGTCAGAGAGTCAATCTGATCTGAGGTTGGCTATTATAGCTTAGGCTGCATGCATGGGAACCCAGGCCGTTGATTCGATTCTGAGACGGCGGGTCGGTTGGAGAAGAAAAATGAAGGGACCAAAAAACGGCAAAAAGGATTCCAGAGAGCATTTGAAGCGTAGTGGAGGTAAATAATTCACTGTAGTTAAGCTTGTTTGTTACCTCATCTCCCTTAGTCTCCAAGCCGGCTTCCGTTTTAGCATATAAGCCAGTTGATTCGCAGAGGTGAGACGGTGGGGGAATGAACTCTTCAGTCAGTGGATGACAAGAGGTTTGGACCAATCTTCGGTTCTGGTACCCTTTTCCTAACCCATACCTGGACATCAAATTCTGAGTATGTAATTGTCTTCTAATATATGTCCAAATACTTTCCTAACATTCAACTTCTTCCTCGAGCACACTGCCCCACATCTCATTGTTCATGACAGAAGCATCGGGTGTTTTTGTCAGCGATCCATCCGCCAGCTCGCCTCCGACTTGTGCTGGTTTTGTTTCCTTTGTGGATGCTTTCGTGGATTCGTCGGGTGTGGTGTCAACTCCACAGAGTTTATCCGCCATGTATGTCGGCGTGGCAGGACCAAGGGTGTCCGCCAAGACCAAAAAGACAACAAAGCTCCCCAGAATGGACTGGATGATTGTGAAGAACAGGATAGTGGCAAACTTGGTGAAGAATGTAATGATGCAAAACAACATGACAGCCGCACCAGCAATGGTGGTAACAGCCGCAGCCAAGATGGAAGGACCCATATAGATCAGAGCGTGTTTGGCTCGTTTCTCTCTTGGAACTGTGCCTGGCAACGACGTGTAGGCATGAGACAAGTGAATCACAAAGTCCACTGCGCAAGAAGCAAAGAGGAAGTGAACGTGTGAGTGGGATGCAGGGTGCAGAGCCGTCCAAGCCTTACATGCATGGCAGCTTACCCGAAATTCCAATCAAAATGGCAAAGCAGATGGATTCCACTACAAGGGCAGACATACGAGGCAGAAAGAACGTCAGCTGTCATTCAATGCCTCAAAGGACGGGGCGTTCTTGTCGTCCCACGATCACTCACAGAATCCCAACCTCCAACCAATCGTAACTATCATTGCTGTGACACTGGACAATACATAGCCCACGCAGAGGACCGAAAAGATCGTCATGACTATAGACCGCGACGATAGCAAAATGATAACTGCTGAAGCCGAAATGGCGATCGCTGCTGATCCAAGTGCCGTACTGAACATTTGCAGATTGGTGTCGTACCACCAGAAGTCATGTGACGAGAAGAATGCCTTGCTGACTTCTGGTGGAGCTGATTTTTGCACTTCGGTCAACCAATCCTCTGTCGCGTGCCATTCTTCATCCAACTTGTCGCTAGGGCTGCGCAAGAATCGAATCCGGCATGGCTCGTTTGTTAGTACATCTATCATTATTTCGACATGAGACGGTTTCGTGCGCTCAACTTCCAAGCAAGACGTACCTGTCATATCGCACCGGGCTAGCATATTCGAAAAATATGATTTCCACAATCCCGTCCCGCGAGAGCACACGATAATCATCCACTTCGTCCGCCCATGCCGAAGTACATTCATGAAAGACTGACGGAGAAATGGGCAACCCCCATGCAAACCCACACGACTTCAGGTAGGCTTCACTGACGGTAGCATTCTCTGTTTGCGAGGCATTCCACTCGGACCGCAACCATGCATCAAAGCTATCAATGGGACAGGCGTCCTCATCGAATTGGCTGCTGTTGGTCTGGTTGAAGAACTTGTCACAAAACCCGAGCATGTACTCTTGCGCCTCTGTGGTTGACGGATCAAACGAGTCGTCCAAGACCAGCTGACTCCACGATCTTGGATTGTTGTGATCGCCCGTGTCGGCCGGAATGGTTCCCCACAGCATTACTGCATACGATCCCGCTGATTTGTACAAAACATCGCTGAGCAGGTGCAACCGCCAGGCATTGGATTTTTCGAATTCGTGGTCTTCTCGGAAGAGTCGCACATCGGGCGTCAAGGGAAGCCTTAGTTGGGATGCTTTCCAGAGGCATAGTCCATAGGCTACCGCACAAGCCACCAATAGCGGATATCGCAGTGTGTGCAAGACGTGATAATACCCCAATAGCACTCGTCGAATGAGACTGGGTTTGTGGTCTTCATCAATGTCCTTGTAGCGATTGTGCAAATTTACAACGTTCAACTCGTGGGCTTGTTCCTGCAAGTTTTGGGTCAAATTTTGAATCATGTTGCCATCATCGTCATATTTGGCGTGTTCTTGCTTTTTCTCAGCCTCGTCCTTATCTACTAACTCGCTGTCATCGTTAATTTCGTGTTTGCCTCCTTCGAAGCGATGACAGCAGTGACAGGTCATGCAACAGTTTGGTTTGTCGACTCGTTCCAGATACTGATCATAGATGCACAGACTCGGGAAAACGAGTAGAATATCCATAATGTAATCCCAGACAATGAGTAGTCCACAAAAAATGGCAAAAAGCCGGACCGGAGCCACGGGACAAATCGCGGTTCCTATTTACAAAGGGCAAACCCAAAAGCGAACAAAACGGTGAGCCGTGTTCTTTCTTCATCATGCATATCATCTTTATCTCATTGCATGTACATTCGAACTGCATGCACTTACCAAAAAACGCAATCGCCGTAGTGGACGTGGTCAAGAGCATGGCTTCGGCACTGTCGGGCAATGCCTTGGCGGCAATTTCTTCCGTGGTGTCCTCTGGAAAATCCTTGCGGGCATTCTTCCACTTGTCGACTGCTACAAAGACTGCGTCAATAAACAAAAACATGAAAGTGTACAGTAGTCAGGTTAGAAAAGGATCCCATGCCAACACGTGCACACAGTAGTACCGGATACTGAAGCATATAGGTACTGTACCTAAGCAACCTACCATGATCTGCACCAAGCGCAAACACCACAAAGACTCCAATGAAATTGAGAAATGGGAAAAAGGTCAATCCTCCCAAAAAGTAATAGGTAAAGTATGCCAGTGGAAAGGAGAGACAGATCTGGACAATACCAACAAAACTGAGGAAAAATGATCGGGTGTGAATCATGAGGGCAAAGACAGTGGTAATGGCACTTCCCGCCGCCAATGCCATGTCACTGTTGACGGCCGTTTCGGAGAGCAGCGTTGCAAAATCTTCGTACTGTGTATCGTAAGCTCCTTCAATGTTTTCGGTTCCCTTGTGAAAGTAATCGACTCGTTCGTACAAGGCGCGCACCGTGTCCTCCACCGTGTCCTCGTCCACGGGTGTTCGGTAAATGCTGGATGTGTAGGTGATGCGTCCATCGTTGGCCGTTTGAAAGAATTCATCGAGTACACTGGGATAAAAGCCCAGGGGACATTCGGTGGGCATTCGTCCCGTGTCGATAAAATCAGATCCCACCAGGGCATCCACGCATTCTTGAAACGTGGCTTTTGTTTCTTCCTGATACCCTCCTGCAACGAAAGTTTGTGAGAGTGTTTCACAATCCATAGCCATGCCATCGGGAATGGCAAGACGTGCCAAGAGAACGAGGGAATACGGCGGCAGGCATTGCTGAGGACCATTGCACCCTTCACAGAGGTTTTGCTCCTTGAGATAGTTTTGTGTTTCTTGCTCGGAATGACATAGATCTTGAAATACTTGCTGATCCAATGCGGATTGTCCTTCGTTGAGAACCTTCCATACAGGCCATAGATGCCGAGTAAAGGGATAGTCGTCCATGCGTCCATCGACATACCAGGCTACATCGCATCCCTCCAATCCCGGGAAGAGAGAGCCCACAAGGGCGTTCAACGAAGAGGAGTTGTAGGAAGCTTCTACGTTCAATTGCCTTTGGAGTAAGACGCGCATGAACTGTTTCTGCGTGTCACTCGACGGTTTTCGTAAGTTACGAGCATCCTTCCGAGCACGGTCTCCACGACGACCAAAGTCCATGCCGGGTCCCTGATGGGGCACCAGTGCGTCTTTCCAGCACCACTCTTCGTTTTCTTCTTGGTCTACTTGTGTAGTTGTAGTACTCGTAAGTCTCCTTCCATTGTAGTTGTCATCATCGAGACCATTCTGCCATCCTGGTTGGACATTGTCGATCAATTCATCCCATGCTGATTCGTCGGTCGTCAAGTTGTAGAGATTATACGTGACCAACATGGCCTGGGTCTGTCGATCGGCAATCAAAGTGCCCCGTGATTGCCAGCCGGCATTGTCGGCCGCCACGGTGAAATCACCAACGACAAACCCCACAATGCTCAATGTGAGGGCAACCACAAAAGACACCCAGAAGTGAACACGGGGCCAACGCGCCATGCGCATGTAAAAGCGCTGGAAAAAACTGTACTGTGTGTAGTCAATCACTCGTTCCTTCTTCTTCTTCTTCTTGGAATTTCTCATCATTGGCTTGGAGCTCACTTCATCATCATCCTCCAGATCACTCAAAGGAGGTGTATGGCCCTCTGGAAGGTCCTTCATCGTCCACTCGATTTCACTTACTCCCTCTCGTCTCTCCAATTGACACTTGTATCCTTGCTCGGCTCTCGGAGAAAATGGAGGCTTTGAAAACTGACTGCGGTATGGGGTACCGGTAGGTGCGCCTTGCACACCTCACCGATCATGGAAAAAAACAAAAATTATGAGAACTCTATATATTTCGCTAACGCTTTATGTACCGCTTCGAACAGACCTGGCTGGGACAAGAGACCTGACAAGAGCGACAAGACTGCATTGAGACCTGCTTTACTCAGCAGCACGACTTTGTATTTCAGGAGTTCCATTTGTTTACCAGAACTACCATTCTAAAGCAGTCTTCCTGTCCATTGTACTGGTAGAACTGCTTTCATGTCGCAGATATCGAAAATCCACCGGGGTCGGCCTTGTGGAGGAGCTCCAGGCATGCATGACATGTCGGGCGGGGCCACCGCTGTAGCTCGAGCTCGATCGAGGAACCACATGCCGATCGATTAGATTTCTGTGGAACTGTAGCCCGTAGTCCACCGGGGTTGCGTCATTTACGTGCCCCAGGCTAGCTACGGTACCGATAGCAGGCACGGCCGGAAAGTCGCAGCGCAAAGCCATCTTGGACTAGCTAGTTGCTGTTGTCCTACCAGAAAATCCTCCAACCATGAATGGATCCATCAAGCAAGGATCCACACATTCATTGGAAGATTGTTCTTGAATGAAACATGTATTGATTATACTAGAAAATCAAAGCTGGAACTCATCTTATATCCCCCCTTCCATCAAAGAAGAATTCAAACAGGCGCAATCACATCCACACAAAACAGAGGTACAGTCAAAGCCAACATGGCAGGACTCAGTGAACTGATCATCATCTTCATAGGCAGTACAAGACACATTCTGCAAGAAGCATAGCTCCTCTGGGATTGTACCAGACAAGCCAAGGTTGCCAGTTAGATTCAAAATCTCCAAATTTGTCAATATGCCAAACTCGGATGGCACAGGTCCGGTCATCTGATTTTCATTCAAAAGCAACCATTTCATAGCAGTCAGTTGTCCCAATTCAGAGGGGATCTGACCAGTGATTTGATTTCCCTTCAAATGCAACTGATCCAAGGCGGTGAGTTGTCCAAACTCAGAGGGAACCTGCCCACTTAGCTCATTGCTATCAAATATTAACCATTCCAAAGCAGTGAGTCTTACAAGTTCAGAAGGGACTTGACCAGAGAACTGATTGTCAAACCACTCCAAGTACAACATTTGTGTCAGCAGTCCAATATGGGAAGGGATTTGGCCAGTGAACTGGCTCTCAAAAAACGCCAAGCCAGTCAAATCAGTCAGCCGCCCAAGCTCTGAGGGAATCTGACCAGTCAACTGAGTTCGAAAGAACCACAACTGCTCCAAAGCAGTAAGCTGTCCAAGCTCAGAAGGGAGTGGGCCAGTCAAGTTCTGTCCATAAAAGGCCAACATAGTCAAAGCGGTCATCTCATACAATTCTGCTGGGAAGAGAGATGAAATTGATGTCTCAATGTCATTGAAGGCCAATTCAAGGTGGGACAGGGAAGTCAACATGGTGATCTCTGGAGGAATAGAAGGCGTCATGCCAGAAAGCTGGAGGTCGTCCAACCAAAGAGAAGTGAATTTACCATGATTGTTGCACGAAGACCGCCAAAATTCTTCGTTGAATTTTCCTTCATAGAAGTATCCAAAACCACTAGAGAACCAGTAGCACTCTTCGACTGAGTCATCCATCCACCCATGCCCCTTTATGAGAGGGTTCCACTTTTCCCCCTCAAAAGAATAGTAGAATGTAGCTAGAGCAAATAACTGCTCTTTTCTCCATTCTGTAAGAAATGTGATGTTTTGATGATTCACAAGCCATTGCCATGCTTTCCATTGTGGAGTTTCACTGCCGCTGTTCAGGCTAGCCAATGTTTGACTGGGTAGATTATCCAACAGCAAGGCCAGAACTCCTGTGGGGGCTGATGACGGTGCTTCGGAAGGCTCCATGGATGCAACAACTGTTGGTGTTTCACTTGACCACAACGTGACTACCCCTGGTTCCTTCTTCTGTTGTGTTCCACTGACTGTGCCAACAACAATGGCTGCCACAATGACCAGTATCAGCACAAATACGACAAAGAACTGCCTCAGTCTGTTCCGTGTTTTCACTTTTTCCTCAAGATCCACGGGATTGGCCAGTGGCCTCGTTTGCTCCTCATCAGAATCATCCAGAACTAGATTGGCCACTGCTAGGTGCTGGTTGTCAATTGTTGAATTGTTGTTGCTGGGCAATATGGCGTCCCGTTCTGCGACAAAGGAGGAATCAACTGGATCATCCACCTGTACCAAACCACCCAGATCAGTAGTTCCACTGGCTCCTACAAGAGAGAATCGGAGAGTGTTTGCACGCAGCAATGCCTCTCCTGGGGCTCCCATGTACGCTCCTGGTCGGGGTGACAGTTGGCTTGTCCGGCGCAGTGTGGTTTGCTGGATTGTTTCTCCTTTTTGGTGGGTATTTCTAGTTGGCGCTGATTCTCTGTTGGTTGTCTCTTGTGACATTTTTGCGAGTTTTTCCATTTTGGCAGTTTCGTTTACTTCTGTTGCCATCTGCAGGAGATGGTTGTTGGAAGTGGAATTGTATGCCTTCTTAAGGTTTTCTTCTTCTTCGCTTAGATGCTGCGCCATTGCCAGTCCAGCTTGTTCTGCCACAATTTTCCTGATTTCTTCTGATGCTTCTTCTCCTCCTCCTTCCCTAATTTGATTTGTAGAATCTTGTTTTAGTTGCTGTTGTTGAGATTTTTGGTTGCCTTTTCCTTGGCTTGGTGTACTCTTGGCATTCCTTTTCTTGGCAGCTGGCTTTTTGTCTTTTACTTGAGCTTCCATGGTATCAAATTCGTCATCTCTGTACTGCTGTGCGGCTTCTGCCTCTGCTCGCTTGATGAGGCTATCCATTACCGCTTGATCAAGTTGGGCAGGTTGACTATCAACGTCCCTACCGGTAGTAGTAGAGTTACCCGAGCTGTTACCGGTATCACTGTGGGCGTCATCATGATTTCTGCTGGATGGATTAATCATCTTCTTCAGAAGGTCAGACTTTTTGTCTCTGTCCATCATACGGTACTGTTGCAGCTGCTGGTCCGATTATGTTGAAGAGGTTATTCTACTAGCTAGTAAGGGGATCGATGGGCTATGCATGGGTGGTGGTGCTGCCGTGCAGTACGGTCCTGGATGGTTTGTTCTGAGGTCTTGGCGGGTCGAATCGAATCAGCGGCGGAGTGCCAAGGCGATTCATGGCGATGGCTCCACGAGTTCGAATCCCCCCTTAAATGTTCGAACTCGGTAGCTTGGGCTTTCTCCGATCCCTTGCTTGCAGATTGCGTAAATCCGCTGGCTTTTCGATTGAGTTCGATGATTCGCCATGGTTTTTAATTTTAGTCTAATTAACGTTAAAAGACGTGAGGCCTCGCGAGGCTCCAGGGAGTTCTTTCAGGACTGCCCCAGTTCACTACGCTGTACCAGCTACCAGCAGCAAAAAGCACCGCAGCACCGCAAAAAAGTAACAAATTTTTATTGTTATAATAAAGCGTGGTCCCCCTCTTGCTGGTACTGTATGGCTTGACGGAGTCATGTAGGACCCATACCCCAGACACAGAAAGGTGTCCACTTGGGATCTCGAGGGTAGTAGCTAGCTAGAATTATGACTGTAGAACTGACCTCCCTGCCACAAGAGAAATAACTCCATTCGGTTCGAATAGAATGCGATGGGCTGAGTTGCCCTCTATAGTTACTAAGACGATTCGGTCCCTGCTGGCACAATGAGCTACCGCGGTTGTCTCTGGGATGCCGATGGCGCCACCAATCTTGCCCCCTTCCCCTCTGCTTCCTCCGTTTGCTCAATGCTCTCCCCTCCCCCCCTTGCTCCCTTTTGCCCTGCTCCTGTCCTCCACACTCTCCCAGTACTACCTGGTACCCACTATACCGATACCACCGCTCTGCCTAGCTTAGCCCCCCTCTCCTTAACGTATCTACTTAGTATTTGCTTTCCACTTCGATTCGGCAGATTGCACCGCAGCACCGCAGCAGTGCACACGCTTCATGCAGGACATCATATCATCATCTGATTTTCCCGCCATCCAGGCATAGCATGGCCACGGTCACAGTCACAGCCAAGGCCAGTGCTGTCAACAGCATGAAAGCAAGCTCTGCTCTAGCCAATAATGGGCTGTCCACAAGGAAACCCCTTCATCACAACAACCTTGCATCCCCCCCTAACAAAGCCATCCATGAAGCAACACTGCAGTCATACTTCCATCTAACAGTCTCAATCTATCGTACTGCAGCATCTCCTTTCCTTGATATCTGGAGCGATTGATCAGAAACGATGGTGCCTCCTCGGGGTAATTGTTGCCTTTGAATGAACATGGGGGACAAGCGAGTGATCGATCCGAAAAGGCCATCAGCAATAACAGAATAGAAAGTTCTATTTGATCTGAAGAAAAACAGAGATCAACTTAACCCGCCACTTGACTGTGAAGGGCCAAGAAAAGAAACCCGTCCCAAACTGGTACCATACAATTTCAATGCGTCCAGCCGCATGGTTAGCGAATCGTCGAATTGTGAGAAGCCCTTGGTGCAATGCTACTTTGAGGATATCAGACTCTCTGACCTCAAACCTGCTATCTCTCCAAGGCAATTCCTACATGCCCGACGCAGCCCTTTGTTTTTCATATGCAGCTTCGGTAGATAATTTCCCTACTCCAAACCATGGATCCCGCAAAGCCAAACCCTTTGCCCCCCGCAATGGTCCTCAATTTCTTGCCCCTGACCCCACAGCAGAACCTAGAGTCCTGAATTTCGGCTGTTCTTTGCTTAAGCCTGGCTCCGGCTGGCTCCCGTAGAATTTCCCTACTCTAAACCCCCTGACCTCTAAACCCCCCTCAATCTTGCTCTCTCTTAATCTCTGGCCATTATCTGAGGGTGCCCCCCTTCCAGTCACTCTTCCCTTTTCCCGGCCCCCTATTTCACTGCACCCCATCTCCAGTTTGGAATTCCAGAGGCTTCCAGCGCCCTCTGTTTAGCATCTTTAGTGTATCTAATCCTATCAAGATAATGTTACCTCCTGGACCATTCGACGGTTTTCGCTCAGGCTTTAAAAACGGCCACGACTGACGAATGTCCTGGTTCTCGATAAGGGGATGTTAAGGGGATGTACAGATTTAAGGGGATGTTTAAGGGGATGTTGAGTATTAAAGGGGTTAATGTTAAGGGGTTGTTTATTTAAAGGGATGTTTGTGTGTGATAAGGGGATGTTGTATGGAGTTTCAATGAAGGCTTAAAGGGTTGTTTCGAGGATATAAGGGGATGTTGCTAGGGGGTTGTTTTTTAAGGGGTTGTTTAAAGGGGATGTTGAAGATTTAGGGGGTTTAAGGGGTTGTTTTAAACGGTTCTCAGTCGTGGCAATTTCAAGCTTTTTTAAATCCTGAGTTTAAACCGTCGGACGGTCCAGGCTGAGAACCCACTGCTCCCCCCCCCATTACTGAAGCTTATTTTGATCCTTACCACTCACCCAAGGACCCTTAGAAAAGGTATAGACTGCCTCGATCATCCTGGTGCAAGCGAAGGACGCATGGATACTATTTATTGAAGACTTCTTGCAGGACCCATGCAATGAACTCGTCCATTCCTACCGAGCATGCACTCTGCCAACAGTCATGGCAAAAACAGTGACTTGTTGGTCTGGATAAGTACTTTAATGGTGGTACCAAAACCCTGAATGGACCCATCTAGCGAGGGTCCAGACATCGATTTATTGGCAGATTACTCCATATCAGTAATACTAGCAGCTATTTGTTCTTCAATGAAAAAGCTATTTTAAAATACTAGAATATGAAAGCTGGAGCTCATCTTTTATTAAATTCCTCCTACTGTCAAAGAAAAATTGGAACAGGCACAATCACATCCACACAGAACAGAGGTACAGTCAAAGCCAATATGGCAGGGCTGAGTGAACTTATCATCATCTTCATAGGCAGTACAAGTCACATTCTGCAAGAAGCATAGCTCCTCTGGGATTGTACCAGACAAGCCAAGGTTGCCAGTTAGATTCAAAATCTCCAGATTTGTCAATATGCCAAACTCGGATGGCACAGGTCCGGTCAGCTGATTTTCGTTCAAAAGCAACCATTTCATAGCAGTCAGTTGTCCCAATTCAGAGGGAATCTGGCCAGTTATTTGATTTCCCTTCAAATGCAACTGATCCAAGGCGGTGAGTTGCCCAAACTCAGAGGGAACCTGCCCACTTAGCTCATTGCTATCAAATACAAACCATTCCAAAGCAGTGAGTCTTACAAGTTCAGAAGGGACTCGACCTTTGAACTGATTGTCAAACCACTCCAAGTACAACATTTGTGTCAGCAGTCCAATATGGGAAGGGATTTGCCCAGTGAACTGGCTCTCAAAAAACGCCAAGTCATACAAACCTGTCAGCTGCCCAATCTCTGAGGGAATTTGACCAGTCAACTGAGTTTGATACAACCACAACATTTCCAAAGCAGTGAGCTGTCCAAGCTCAGAAGGAAGTTGGCCAGTCAAGGGCTCTCCATAAATGGCCAACATAGTCAAAGCGGTCATCTCATACAATTCTGCTGGGAAGAGAGATGAAATTGATATCTCAATGTCATTAAAAGCCAATTCAAGGTGGGACAGGGAAGTCAACATGGTGATCTCTGGAGGAATAGAAGGTGTCATGCCAGAAAGCTGGAGTTCGTTCAACCAAAGAGCAGTGAATTTACCATGACTGTTGCATGGAGACTGCAAAGCATCTTCGATGAATTTTCCTTCACCATCGAAATATCCAAATCCACTGGAGAACCAGTTGCACTCTTCAACTGTGTCATCCATCCATCGCTCCTTTATGAGAGGGTTCCAATTTTCTCCCTCAAATGCATAGAAAAAAGTAGCAAGAGCAAATAACTGCTCCTTTCTCCATTCTGGTAGCCATGTGACGTTTTGGTGGTTTGCAAGCCAATTCCATGCTCTCCACTGAGGAGTTTCACTGCCATTGTTGATCCTCGCCAAGGTGTGACTGGGTAGATTATCCAACAGCATGCCCAGAACCCCCGTGGGCGAAGAGGATGGCACTTCAGAAGGAGTCATGGAGCCAAAGACAGTAGGAGATGGTGTTTGGTACACAACAACTGTATTATTGTTCTTTCCAGCAGTTCCAGCCACAGTCCCTGTAACGGCAGCCACGGCACAGACAACCAGAAACAGAATAAAGAGGACTGTTTGCTTTTGCTTTTTTGCTTCTTGTTTCCTTTTCTCGTGTTCCTCCAAATCGACCGGATCCGCACGCATTAAATCTTCTGGGTCGTCCATGACACGGTTAGCCACTGCCAAATGGTCCATGGAAACGCTGGATTGATCGGGAAATAGAGTTGGGTCCAACACGTTGTTGATTGCCGGCAGCTCTGTTGTTGTGTCATTATTAGTTAAATTCGGATTTCCCGGCCCTGCCATGGGGTAGGCTCCGGGCACCAAGACTTGTTGCCGCTGTTGTTGGATGGTGGAACGGATAAGTGTGGTCTCTTCGAGCGTATTTGCTTGGTCATGAGGACCACCAACGGCGGCACTTGGTTTTCCGTGATTTGCATCTGCTGCTGTAGTCCCGGTGTCTCTTTGCAAATATTTGGCTATGCCTGTGGTCACTTCCAGTATATTTGCTTGGTCATGAGCACAACCCACGGCGGCACTTGGTTTTCCGTAGTGTGCCCCGGCAGCTTCTGGCCCTGTGTTTCTTTGTAACCCTATGGCAGGCATACCTGTGGTCACTTCCAGCGTATTTTCTTGGTCATGAGCACCAGCGGGACGGGCTCTGTTGACCTGTTTGACACGCTTGTCGTTTGCCAGACCAGCTTGTTCTACCACAATCTCCATGATTTTTCTTGTTGCTTCATCGTCCTCTGACTTGGCTTCTTTTTTGCTTCTAGTATGAGTAGTAGTGGAAGCTTTGTCTGTCACTTGAGCTTTTTTGGGGTCAGATTCTTCATCTCTGTACTGATGTGCGTCATCTTGGTACTGCTGTGCAGCTTCTGCCTCTGCTCGCTTGATGAGGCTGTCCATTACTGCTGAGTCGTCGTCAAGCCGGTCAGGCTGATGATCGTCTTGATGCTGCTGCTGTGCGGCTACTGCCTCTGCTCGCTTGATGAGGCTATCCATTACCGCTTGATCAAGTTGGTCTGGTTGATTCTCAACGTCTCTGGTTGAGTTACGGGTACTAGCTTGAGCTTCACCGTCATGTTCGTTTAATCGATTCATCTTCTTCAGAAGGTCTATCCTTCTCAAATGCTGTTGCAGCTGCTGGTTCAATTAAAGTAAAGTGGTTACTATGGGGATGTATGGTCTTGGGTGGGGTTATTACGTTATTACAGTGCCGCCCAGGATGTTTTGTATTACACGGGAAGCTGTAAAAAATAAATAAATTGGAAGGTGTGGGGTGTCCAAATGGGCGAGTCGAGTCAGCGGAGTGCCATCTCCACGCAGTTCTATAATTAACATGGACCTGCATGCATGAGCTTTTCGATTCCCAGTTCCCTTGACAATCGCGTACATCTGCTGCCTTGCGATTCGGCGATCTCCACGCAGGACCGTTGTGGAAATAGTGAATCGTGGGTATTTCGTTAGGAGACTTAACACGTCTCCTCTAGGAGAAATAATATGCGACCTAAGAGCCATGGTTTCGAAATACTAGTAGGAGACGTCTCCGGTAAATATATATGCGACCTAGGAGCCATGGTTTCGAAAAAGGAGACGTCTGCTGTAAATAATAGTGGACGTCTCGTACCCGTGTTATTAAGAACTACTGTACGTGGTAACTAAGTCTCTAATAGGAGACGTCTCAGCCTAGATATCAGGAGATTTTTCCTCCAAATAGGGGACGTCTCCTAAACCGGGAGACGTTAAGTCGCTTAATGCAGACGTGCACCTCTACTATTAGTTACTTATAAGACATAGTCGAATCACGTTTCCACAGAGGTCCAACTATAGTCTAATTAACATAATATTGAACTGCTTGCATGAGCTTTTCGATTCCCAGATTCCCAGTTCCCTTGACAATCGCGGCATATTCCGCCGCCTTTCGATTGAATTCGAGTCTTTACATCCGTGCTGGCACATGGCACATTGTTGAATTGCCAATGATGGACCCAGTAAGGTACCGGATGGCGGAGCTCACATGCATGCACTCAATGCTACCGGTACCTGTATGGATATACTCAGCGGACTGTGCCGCCTATCTATGATGCACACTCTAGCTAGTTGGCAAGCTAGATACTTGATCCGGGGCTCCATATTGCAGTAGTAATTGTTTGTAAAATTAACTTGCCTTATCCAAAAACATCCATAACTGTAGCCAATTATGATTGTACTCGTCTGCACCAACGAAGACTTCACTTGGGCGAACCAAGAATAAGCCATGCTTGTACTAAAGCACCGGCTGCACTCTGTGCATGGTGACATTTCTCTACCTCACGACAAGAGCTGTTCGCTGTGAAGAAAGGGCACCGCCTTTTGGAGATCAGCCACCTTGGCCTCCGACCCTCCATACAAGATGCCCAACCCACGAGGTCCCGCTCGGAAAATGACCAGGATCACCATGGTAGAAGGAATCAACTTGGACAGATCATAGAGTGGCATGTGAAATTCTTCGTGGCAATCGGTACCGAGGAAGCATGGTTTGGCAAAGGATGCCCAGTTGGTAGCAATGGCAAACGAGCCACTGGCCTGACCCCAAAAGCCGGGCAGGGGCTCCTGATTTGTGACACGGCGTCGAAAGATGGGTGGTTGAATCGATTGACGAATCAATGCAGGAGTCGCCGAATCTTGTGGACGGTAGCAAATGACATTTTCATAGTTGCCAGCATGCGTTTCCGTGTGTCCTGCGATACGTCCTCCGCGAAAGTTGAGTGCCATCATGCCAAATTTGCAACGACAGTTTTGAAGGAACCAGCTCGTAATGACATCATTGGAGGAGACAAACTCAACGTCGTTATTGACTTTCGCGGCTTGCTTCTTGGCCTCCTCCATTCCTTGGGGATGGATCAAATGCATTTTTCCAACCGTTTTGGTTTTCGTACACAAGGAGTGAAGAACTCCATAGACGCAATTGACAATGAATCCTGCGGATTGGAGGATTTTCTGTTCTGGCTCTCCACCCATGACTTTGATCTGCTCTTGTTCCGTAGTTAGAATTCTCTCTACCTGCAAAGCTTCAATGGTTTCCTTGGAATTGAGGAGCATGTTGTGCAAACGATAGAAAGTATGCCCATCGGAAAGTGCATGCGATATGGAAACGACTACGGCAAATTTCTGGTGTGGATCTTTGTGGCAAGGGATCACATGGACCCTCCAAAGTGGAAGCGTTGGGCCCACTTTCACATAGAGATCAAGCTCTGAGCATTTGGCTCCCAGTTGATCAAAGGGAATATCTCGCGACAAGAGCTCATTGCTTTCATGACAACAAAAGTGAGTGGCAAGGAGATCACTTGCCTGCTTGGCAGTGCTGTATACCAAAGCGTAAGCACCATTCTTCTCTTTGCGCTTTTCAATTCTTCCAGCCAACCAAGGATTTAACTCCAAGATTTTGCCCGTGCGCTCTCGTAAGGAATCAACCACTTGGCTGTAGTCTCCCTGGAACCATGTCAATGTAGATGTGGCATTGTCTCCACCTCCTCCACCTGCCAACACCTTCTCGACACCCAAGAGCTCCACAACCACTTCATTTGGATCGGCCTTCATTGCGGCCTTTGCGTGTTTTTTCTTACCTGCCCAAAACAACAGTGTAGTGGCCAACGAGCAAACCAATACTGCAGCAGCAACTGGATGGTACTGTTGATCTTCGCTTGGCATTGTTATTATGTGATCCCAGCCAGAGCAACGAGCCGACCTCAAGAAGGAATAAGAGGAGCAAGTCGTGGAGAGCGCAGAATATCTTGTTCGTCCCGTAAAAGATCCAAAAGTGCGGCACGGTAAGGATAGTGATAATCTTGCCCACGACAGGAGAACAGAACCACGATGAGTTATCAACGGAGCGTGGAATCTGTTGTCGTGGGGAGCGAAAACGTCTGAAGGTCCACATGCATCGTGTAGCCACACCCGGGATATGACAGCGACGCATCACCACAAAAAGTACAACGAGGCATCTGCATGCTTGTCGAGCAAACAACCACACCTCATTGCAATAATGGTCCTCATTCGAAACTTTTCCATCCAGTTGGTCAATGCCGCCACAAAGGTACCCTTTAAAGAACACTTCCACGACGGTAAGGTCTACGCAGAAGTAGAGCCCGGAGTGGAATACTACATTGAAGTGGAGGTCATGGGAATGAACAACAAGGCCCAACCATTTTTGATAGACTATATCGTGGATGGCACCAAGCTGGGATACAAAACTTCCCTTTGTGAAGCCAATGGCAAGTACTATGCTGGCTTGTCATCTCGAAGTAGCGAGGGACGGTCCACCATGCGAGCCCTGGCTTTGCATCGACCTCCACTGGTGCACACCAACATGCCGACATCTGCCGTGGAAGGCACCGTGGTGGTGGACATTCAACAAGCCCTTGCGTCAGGAAGACAGTGGTACGGACAGGGTACGGGCCACACAATGGTGGCACCCAAGGTTGTCTCTGCCAACTTGACGCTGTCTGGCCCGAATAATACTAGTCAACGTGGTGCTGCTGTCGTGGACGTTCTTCGATCGGGATGCGGCACCTACGCTGAGACCAAGGTCAACGATGGCGTTTTTCCAACGTATTTGGAAGGCAAACACACCGAACGAGTCACCATTCACTATTGCACTTCCTTGGGATTGACAAAAGCAGGTGTCATTCCTCCTCTTTCTCTTCCCCAGACGGGCTCTTCAGGAGGAGTTGCTTGGTCTTCGACAGCGGCAACGGCGTTGGGTATGGCGGCCCCTACCATGAACTATCCATGGGTTGTGGGTCCTGCGAGTGCTGCCACTATGCCCGAACTAACTGCTGCACCCTCCTTGACTGCTTCGTTGGGGTTGTCTTCAGGAGCACTTGGCAATCCAGTGTTCAGCAGCTTGTTACAGGATCAGTTGTCATTGCTCCCACCCGAGACTACATCCAGTCGAAACCAGGTGCCAACAATGACGACGAATAGCATGGTTTCACCTAACTTTGGCAGCACCTGGAACTATCCTTGGTCGCAGGCAACACCTCAACTTGCCCCCACACAGCCGCAATCTGACAACAGTAGTCATCCTACTCCCAGTGCCGCCGGTGCGGTGAATTCCGCTTACCATGACATTGTCAAACAGGAATCTGCTGCTTAAGAGAGATGAATGAGCATCCATCACTATGGGGCGAAAGAGTTGCCAAGGAAGGAGTCAAGCATAGCACTTGAGCTAGAACTACCGGTAAGTCTTGAGTAATAGGAGTAGCAGCAGGCAATCTGATTGTGGTAGCAAAACTGAATGAGTCATCTATATGCATAAGTTAGTTTATGAGGAGTTGCTGCTGTAGGAGGTTGAGTTTGTAGCTGTAGCTATAGCTAGCTATTGTGCATGCTTATGCCATGAGGGCACAGCCTCGTGGCTTGACAGCTGGTTGAAACGAGGGGCTCGGTCGTTCTGGAAGTGGAAGTGGCATTGCTGTCCTGGAGAGCTTGTTCATGTGGAAGTGGGAGATGCGTCTTGCTTGATTTCGAAGGAGCATTTCCTTCTTTCGGTTCTGCCGTTGTCGGGCCTTTTCAAGTCGAGCATCAGCACGAAAGTGAATGTAGTCTTGTGGTTGATAGAAGAGTTGGCTGGAAAGTTCCGTGTTCTCAGATTCAAAGTGGCGAATGCTGTCTGCTGCCACTGCGGAAAAGGTAACACGCTTCTTGGTGGTTTTGCTGGTAGTAGTAGTAGTGCTCATCATTGTCATGGTGGAATGGAATCAAAGAACTGAGAGAAATGGTGGTACTTTGGAAATTGGCTGGTCTAATATTGTGGGGCAAAAGATTTTTGGAGACTGGGATTCGACTGGTATCGATTTGGAGATGGAGGGGGCTAGCTAGAATCTTCCTGCTAGCTATAGCTAGTAGTAGTCACCGGTAGCCGTGGTCGTTCATTTTACTGCTTTCTCGATCTTCACTACACACCACAGGCACTCAGGCAGAAATCTACTGGTAAAAAGGACCATTAATGGACCATTGTCTTTTACGGAACGGAGATGAGCCAGTGAGTCCACATACCTGCACAGGAAAGAGGAGCTGTCGGTAATACCCTTGCAACCCTGCTTGGCTGCTTTGTTGTTTTCATCGTTTAGGAGATAAGAGTCAATAATGAACGTTCGCTTTTGACTCATGCAACTCAACACACTGGAATGAGGAATGAGGACAATGCCTGCAGTCGCAGAGGGGCATTGAGCATTGAGTACACAAATGTACGCAGGATTTACGTGGCCAGGACAGATCGCGTGGATCTCATTGCCTCGGAGAAAGGAAAAGTCTCCCCTTCAGAGAAAGGGGGGTCTGCAAAAAAGCTTTTTCCTGTAAACTGCTCAAGAATAACAAAAGGGCTAAAAAAACTTCCCATAGCCAATACGCAATAAGAGCGGAGTATTTTACTTGACCATTGTTCAAGAGGGGCATGCATCGCTTAAATATCAGATACTAGTAGCTCATCAGCTGCTCATCCGCCGAGCTTGTTACTGTACTTATAGACTATAGACTACTAGCTAGTACTAAGACAAGTCTTACTTACTTGTTCTCGGGCGATCGATTACAGATAAGACTTCGTACATGTAGCTCTCGTACAGTAACTCGTAACTGAGGCATCTAACCACTGGAATACACGTACATGCACTGAGCTCTGAGCATTATGTTGCGTTGTGCGGATTTAACACAGACGAATCAGTCACACTTTGTGGAGGATTGAGCAGCTGAAGGTCAAGTATTTACTGGCATCAAGGGGAGTACAGTCGTACTAGCAGTTATCTCTGAAGCGAGAGTCACAATATCTCCAGTGAGAAACGACGCGACTACTAACCTACCAGTACCGGTACTGCTGTCTGGGTGCGGGCACTGGGCGGCGCCTGCATGTTGATTGTTGATCCACGCAGGCGGATCAATGATACATACATACCAGTACCTGTAGGTACTGTACTCAGTAGCTGATAAGGTGTTGACTACTGGAGTACAAGAGTATGCTCCATACACCTCCGGAGTTTGCTCTTTAGTTTACCCCTTTTTTGGTGCCTGCTTCAAAAAACTTTGGGCCATGGGATCGGGCTGAGAGGCAGGATTGTCCTGCAAGCTACAAGCTTGGCTCCTGCCTGAATCGAATCTCTATCGTTTCGACGCTGGGCTCCCTGGCTGGGCGTTCTCGGTCAAAATGCCTCCACCGCTCCGACTGACAAAACCGAGTCGCCTGCCTGTTTGACTTCCCATTCCTCCCCGAAATACTTCACTGCACTGCTTTCCAACCTGGAGCTTTGCTTCGAGGATGTCTTGGCCGTAAGTTGTTTGGCATGCTTCATACAGCAGCTCTCTAGAAGCTAGAAACTGACCACAACATTGCGAAATTGGCCATTGATATCACCTGAGGAAGCGTGCTTTGGCATTGTCGATGATCACCAGTGAGGAAAGGTGAGGGTGAAGCCCGACAGTTACTAGATGGTCGAAAAGCAACAATTGCCAGTACCCGCATGTACATGTGCCAAAGTCAACCTCGTCCAGTGTATTGTAGAATCTTCCTATAGCTTTTTACCATGTATCTACGGTTATCTCCATGCACTGACGGCAGGCACGAGTCCTATGTCCTCAATACAATGATCTCCAAACTTTAAACCATTCATATCCAGTCAAACGCAATGTCCTATGTCCTGTGCAGTCACACTCGAGGCGCTGGGCTCCTTGTTTCTCTGGCTCCTCCCCAACTTCAGAACCAGGGGGTAGCTACAAGTAAGTGCTTGCAGCCATCCATTTCTCCCCCTTGAACGTAGTATGAATACAAACATGCTAAGTAAGTAGAGTCTAGTCTAAAGATTTTGATTGCTACCGGTACTGACAGGCTGAAGTGGCAAGGAGAGCAAATAATGTGCAAGTGGACGCAAAGTTAAAACGATTGCCTCCGTGGTGACCCCGATCTACAGTACACCACTGCAAGTTGCGAGGAGGATGTTTGCAAGACGACAAAGTTATAAAGTTATAGAGGCCTGATGTTCAGTCCAGCGTGAACTCTCTGGCTGAGGGGCGAAGATTCGGCTGCGAGATGTACAGAGAAACAAAAGGATTGTGTTGAAAACTCTTGCGATTTGTGACCCAGCCACTGTCACTCTATAGACCTGGCTTGTATTGCTTCGGTTGGCGCGAAGGTGTTGGATGTTGAGCCCGTTCAGCCAGTGCAGCAAACTGCAGCAAAGAATACTTGCAAGCTTACAGCAGTAGCTACAGCACTGTATTCAGGTTCCTTTACAGGAGCTCTGTGGCTAGCTAGCCGGTGCACACCATTTTTTCAAAAGGCAAGCTGAGAATCGCATTCCTCTGCAAATTTGGGAACACTTCTCTCAAACACTTCTCCTGAACACCTCTCCCCAACACTTTCAGTATTGTATTAGTATTGCTTCTGAATTAGCTATCAGTGGACAGTCTTTTAGTATTTTGCAGACAATTTTCGTTGACAAATTTTGTACCTGGGCACTGCACCGCACAGTACGAATTAACAGCTTCAGAGATCCTGCATTCAAGGAATGCGATATCTATGGATACAGGGGTATCACCAATCTTCTAAAGATATCAGCCACCGACAGCTTGAGCCATTGAGCTAATAAAGTACATTGTCAACCGACTAGCTAGCCAGCCAACCAGCTGCATAGACAAATAAATATTGCCATGACATCCGTTTGCATTCTACTACCCATCCTTAGGTTCTACTTTGGTGACTATGGGCAGGACAGAAGCCACGCATACGATAGTGCTTCTTCACCTGGTGGCTGACTATAGCCAGCAGCATAGTCCATCCATTCTGAGGCTGACGATGGGCAAGGCAGGGCAGGGCAGGGCAGGGTACCGTACCGGTAGAAGCTCTAGAGGGGTAGCATTTTCAAGCCCGTTAGTACACAAACCACTTTTAAAATTCTGTCCCAAACTCTTGAACCATACAACATTTACTCCCCGAGCGACTACAGTAAACAGAATGTCAAGAGAGGACAAGAAAGGCTATAGAAAGGATTGGTATTGTACTGTAGTATATGAAGTTGCTTTTATAATCAAATTATGGAATAGTATGAACATTGGTCTGCTGCCAATAGCTGGTGACAGTTATTTGTATTGTCGGTATTTTCAGGGCGCGTTTGGATTGATTGGAGGTACGCGTATATATTTGTATAGTAGGGTAGGGTAGAAACATGTTTGGCTTTTCGGCTTTTCAGCTTTTCAGTTAAGCCATGAGAGCACAACCTCGTTGGGCTGGGACGGAAGGGCGGAAGTGAGGCTTTCGTCGGTCAGAGGAGGAGACTTGAGCTGCCAGCTTAATGTTGTCAATGCTTGCCGACTTCATGAGCAATTCTTGGCGAGCTTGTTGCGTCATGCGGTTGAGTTTTTCGATGCGCGCCATGCGTTGCTTTCGTGCTCGGTCAAGCTGGTAGTCAGCTCGGAATCGAGAGTAATCTTGAGATTGATAGAAGAGTTCTTCGGCATACAAGTGGTTGACTGGCTGAAAGTACACGACCTCTTCTTCTTCTTGGAAGGAAACTCGCTTGCAATGGCAACGGGTAGATTTGTCGTTGCTGGGGGCAGCAGAGGAGGTGCAAACTTGTTGGTCGCAGAAAGTAATGATGGCCATCTTGAGATCTTTTGGTTACTACTAGCTAAGATAGTGAGTGTGGGTACCTGTATAGTTGAGTTGTGGTCTTTCGACTTTTGAATTTATGAGAGATGAGCTGATCTGATATGCTTCTTCTTCTCCGCTCGTTTCCCTTCAACTTCGCCGTTGCTTTTGGTGGTTGCTCTGTTGGATGCTGGATGCTGGGATCAACCGTGCCAAGTTAGAAGTCATTGTTTGCCACTAATCGGGATTCAAGCCAGCCCTATGAAGTAGTGCGGGTTCGTCTGTGTTCATTCCGATCCCCCGAATGCCAACGATTTAATGAGTCGGTTTCCCTTGCTGGTCGTCATTTCCCCGTTCTGGTTTATTGAGATGCTTTTGCTGCCACGCCAGAGGTCCTTAAAGATCTCATTGTTAAGTTATTAGATTGAACTGGAGATCAAAAAGGGCAAACTGGGATTGGTGCATCTGCCCCAACCTGCTTGGGGGCAGAAAGCCAAAATCAAGGTCACGCCTCATGAAACCCAGTCGTTTCTATTATGGCAATACGGATCAGAAGATTCGGAAGATAAAGCAGTCTAAAGCACAACCAGCTAATCCGACGTGTTGGTGCGTTTGTGAAGAAGTATAGCCCATCCACAATGATGCAATACTGCCCATCCACAACAACATCAACAGCGCGGCAACACCCTGGCAAATTCTACAGCCCAATGTGGTGAAAACCATGCTGTTGGAGTGTGACGGCAGCGTGAAAAGAAGGTCTTTACCCCCCGATGTGGCGACCTTTCTGTGCTCGGCAAATCCTAAAAGCTTGCTTCCTTGGTCACCTCTAGGTTTTCGACCAGCCATGGGTACTGTACTACCAAGTCCGTTCATGACCAACATCTTGAGCAGCTCAATGAGCTCTGGTGGAGGCTATTGCGATCAGGACCAGCCAAGTTGCACTAGTCCTTAGCTAGCTAACGCTGTGCTTCTCCTACAGCCTTCAGCTGTGTTGGCAGACAGAGTGACTCAGCCAGCCCTTGCAAGCATACTTTAATAGCTATCTATAGCTATGGCCAACCAAACAAAAGCGAGACGGTAGGTACGTGGTTGTGTGCTTCGTTGAAACCATATAGCCTGATCTGAATGGTGATACGACCGATTACTCCGGGCTACTAACCTCTAACTCACCAACTTTCAACAAAAGACTCTACTTTTAGTACTACTCATCCAGGTGTACTGATTGCTGTGCTCGAGTTATCTGTGAGAAAAGGACCAGGCACCACTTTCTATTACTGGACATGCATTCACAGCCAGACAACTAGCTAGTAGGCTTCTTACGCCAAGACAACGACAACTTGAACACCAACAAGCGTGAGGAGTGAGGAGGTGTAGCAAGTGGGAATGTTTGGTAGCTGCTGCTATCCAGTTTGTCCACACTGGGCAGACGACAAGATAGGCTTGGATAATATGCACTTATGCATTTGAAGAAAACGGGGCGGTACAGTACAAAGTTCGCAAGGTTCAACCAAGGCAACCAACAAAGCACGCTGCCACTTGTTTTGCAAATGCGAATTGCTGCGTTACGGGAATGCACCAAGCAAGCAACCTTTATCCGTGACCTTGCTCGGTGGAGTCTTCACTATGGGCGGCTTCGGACCCTCTGAATGCCCTTAGCCTGAATAGGAGTGGCGTATACGAGCCACTTGCTTGCTTAAATAGATAGAATAAGGGAAGTCTATCAGACAGGAACCAAAGGCAGCCTCTGCTTTGCGTGAGTTGTGGATTGCAAGGCAGGCACAGTAGCTGTGCTCAGCAACTGACATGGCACGGGTGGCTGATACTGTAGCTCCTTTTTGCATCATGCAGTGCACCGCCCGAAGCCGTCAGGTACAGGGCCACAAAGGGTCAACTTGGTCAAGCTGAACTTTTTCATTCACTCTCTCGCATGCGTTTGGGAATCCAACGGGGGGTTAGAGTACCAGTATCGTAGGCGGATTATCTACAGAAGATCTGGGGGCCATGCAAGAAAGTTCCGAGCATTCCCAGAAGAGAGGACTTCAATAATAGCTAGCCAACATTCACAAGTAAATGATTCTAGTTTTTTCCTTCCTGCACTCTAATCCCATGCTCAAGGCTCGATGCACGTAGCATAGTCAACTATCAAAGCGTTGTGCCTATCCATGGATCTCGAAAGCAGCTTGGGACCCCTCATCAGCCAGCCAGCGGATTGCCACAGCCAGTGGCCATCATACCGGCAGGCCATAGACTGACTAGCTAGAATAACTCATCGATTGGCAGATTGTTCTTGAATGACAAAAGTCATAACACTATATATAGAAAATCAGTGATGAAACTTTTCTTATATTCCTCCTTTTAAGAAGAATTGGAACATTCACAATCACATCCACACAAAACAGCTGTACAGTCAAACCGGAGATAACAGGGCGGGGTGAAGAGGGGCGCATTTAAGAAGGGCTCAGTATTGGGCACATAGGTACAATACTTCAAGAAACATAGCTCCTCTGGGATTGTGCCTGACAAGCCAGGGTTGCCAGAAAGATCCAGATAACGCAAACTCGTCAAAAGGCCAAACTCAGATGGCAAAGGTCCGGTCAACTGATTTACGGACAACCACATCTCAGTTACAGCAAACAGCTGTCCAAACTCAGAGGGAATCTGTCCAGTTATTTGATTTCTCTTCAAATCCAACTCAGACAGGGCGGTGAGTTGTCCAAGCTCTGATGGCACAGGTCCGGTCAACTCGTTTTCATGCAACTTCAAAGATATCATGGCAGTCAATTGTCCAATTTCAGAGGGGATCTGGCCCGTTAGCTCATTTGCATACAAAAATAGCATATCCAATGCAGTTTGCTGTCCATGCTCTGATGGAATTTGACCTGAAAATTGATTGTTTGCCAAATCCAATCCTGCCAAAGCAGTGAGTCTTACAAGTTCAGAAGGAATTTGACCTGATAACTGATCTTGGGGCAACCCCAAGAACAACAGTTGCGTCAGTAGTCCAAAATGGGAAGGGATTCGTCCGGTGAACTGGTTCCAAGACAACTGCAAGTAAGTCAAAGCAGTCAGCTGCGCAAGCTCCGAAGGAATCAGACCAGTCAACCTATTTCGAAAAAACCGAATGTCAGTCAAACCAGTCAGCTGTCCAACTTCTGAAGGGAGCGTGCCTGTCAATTGTTCATTAAAAAATTTCAGCCCAGTAAGTGTAGTCATCCTGTACAGCTCTGATGGAATCATAGATGACATTGATGTTGCAATCTCGTTGAAATCAAACTCAAGGTGTGACAGCAAAGTCAACATGGCGATCTCTGGGGGAATAGAGTGCGTCAAACCAGAAAGGTGGAGCTCTCCCAACCATAGAGAGGTGAATTTACCATGGATATCGCAGGGAGACTTTCCGCGATCTTGGACGTATTTTCCACCAAAGAAGAGTCCAAATCCACTGGAGAACCAGTTGCACTCTTCCAACATGTCATCCATCCATCGCTCCTTTATAAGAGGGTTCCAATTTTCTCCCTCAAAGGCATAAAAGAATGTAGCTAGAGCAAACAGCTGCTCCTTTCTCCATTCTGGAAGAAATGTGATGTTTTGATGATTCACAAGCCATTGCCATGCTTTCCACTGAGGAGTTTCACTTCCATTGTTGATGCTAGCCAATGCGTGACTGGGAAGATTCTCCAACAGCAGGTCCAGAACCCCACTGGGTGCAGAGGATGGAACTCCAGAAGGCTCCATGGAACCATATACAGTGGGTGACGGTGTTTGGATGGTTCCTGACTTGGGCCTTAGTCCAACTCCCAGACTGATAGCAATAATAACAAGGGAACAAGAGACAACGGCGAATCCAACTCTTTGCCACTTCTTTTCCCTTTTCTCTCTGCCAGCTTGTTGTTCCAGTAAATGATCAACTTGTTGGGCTTCCTGGACAACTTGCCTTCTAGATTCCTCTGTGATTTCCCTAGCTTCAACCAGTCCTTGGTCATTTGCAGTGGACAGTGGGACAGTGTCAGTGGTTGCCGGAGGATCATTGATGGCATTTTCATGTTCATTTTCATGGATGTTGTAGTTACCCACAAGGTCAAAATCAAGACTTTGAACTCGCTGCAAGTTTTCGCCCGTGTAGGCTCCAGGACGAGATTGAGGTCGTTGGTTGGCTCCTCGGTGCAATGTTGTAGGTGCCACTGGGATTGGCTCAATCCGTTCCACCAAATCATCCAGTAAAGATTGATGACTGCCAGGTGCGTTTATTGGTTGGTTTATTGGTACCATAGGATTGTTGTTTCTGTCTACTGCCTCGCCGCTTGCTGTAGCAGAAATCGCAGTTGGTGGATATTTTCCTTGCTCTGGGTTCTGTTCTTCGTGTATGATACTGGGATCGTAACAACTTGTTCCATTGGCGGCCTTAACAGTCGTGGATTTGTTTTTGCCAAGCCCACGAAAAAAGGGAAGAGCACCCACAACGGCATTTGGCCCTGCATCTGTGTTGGCAGGCATACCTGGATCAGCAGCAGTATCTTTTTTGTTTGGGAGACCAGCTTGTTCCGACCCAATCTCCGTGAATTTTGTTGTTGCTTTGTCTTCCTCTGATTTGATCTCATTTTGGCTTCTAGTAGTACAGGTAGCAGTGGAAAGAGAATTAGTTGTCTTTTTGGCCTCCCTTTTGGCAACTTTGTCTTTGTCTTCTACTTGAGCTTTTTTGGTGTCAGATTCTTCATCTTGGTACTGCTGTATTTCGTCATGGTACTGCTGTGCGGCTTCTGCCTCTGATCGGTTGGTGAGGCAATCCATTACTGCCGAGTCATCATCAAGCTGGTCTGGTGGATTCTCAACGTCTCTAGCAGCGTTACCGGTATCACCTGGAGCATCGCCATGATGTCCATTGGCGTCAGCTTTGTCTTCTTCCATCTTTCTAACAATGTGATTGCTGAATATGTGTGTGGACCGAAGAGTGGGCTGTTGTTACTTTCCGAAGAGGTTACCATGGGTTAGAATGGACAACTGGTATAGGGGAGTAATGGACGACATGACAGAGGAGACAGCTGTTGCTTCGCACAGATCGCAAAAAGATGGAAGAAGTTCTCAAAGATCTGTTCGATTTGCACGTTTATCAATGGCAGCAGAAAGTGAGTATACAAAATAATTTACCCTTTTGCCCCCGTAACGGTCCTCACTTTCTTGCCCCTGATCCCACAGAACCTAGTCCTGAATTTCGCCTGTTCTTTGCTTAAACCTGGCCCGGCTGGCTTCCGTAGATAATTCCCCTACTCTAAACCCCCCACATATTTACTGGGATTGACAGAGACAAGCCTTCACGCCGCTTCTGATCGATTGCATGATTCGACCCGAATCGAATCGAGAATCGAATGGAATAGTCTCTGTGCTGTTCGGTGCAGCCATGGAAAAAAGGGGGGTTTTGAGTAGGTGGATTTCTACGGTATGGAAGCCACCTATGGCCAGGCTTAGTAAAGGCCAAGAAGAGCCAAAATTCAAAATGCTGGACTTGGTTCGGTGGAATCAGGGGCCGGTACGGGGTCCAAAGGGCTTTGCTTGGTGGGATCCATGGAGACATAAATGCATGTGCAGGTTTCATTTGGGAAGTGGTGTGGCTTGTCTCGCTCCACAGGCTAGCTAGCTAGAGATTGGCTCGTTTGTATACTATGCATACACAGGAGACCGGACGTGCCAACATGAACTCGTTATGGATATGTATACTACTCTTTTTGTGTTGGAGACCACCATGACTTCTATCTATACTTTCTTCTTTTTCTTCTTGTCAGCTTGCCGCTGTTCCCAATCCTTGGCCAACTCTTTGGTTTTGACCCGATAAAAGAATCGTCCGAGGGGTTTGAATCGATCAAATTGATGCACGACGGGACTAATGGTTTCATCCCAATTGAATACGACTTGATCTCCCGATTTCGCTTCCGTCTGAATGAGTTTACCATTGCCCCATTCGTTGGGTTCTTTGGTCCGCATGGCACCCATATTGTTGACAATGCCGCGTCCTTGATCAAAAACGGTAATGGATCGAATGCGTTCGGCGTATTGTAGTTTTCCACTGTAATAGAGGTAGTTGTGAAATCCTTGATCGGCTCCCATGAGTCTAATTTCGGTTTCATCAAATTCATTGACCATGGCTCTGAGATATGTTTCGAGTGCAATTTGTTCTCCCATGGTCGCCCCCGAGCAGATTGTAGGTTTGTCTTCCATGGCTCGAATGACTTTGAGCCCGTATGCGTTGGTCAACCATTTTCGATTCTTGTCGGATTTTCCAATGCGAGTGGCTTCTGCGTTTTCCTGGTGTCATAAATAAATCATCACGGATGAGAAAAAGATGGAGAAACAGGTGAGATTGATGCCCGTGATCGACCAACAACAAACAAAGACTACCAAGCTTGTCTTTAGTCTATACATACCCCAAAGAAGAAAATGACACCATTTTTTCGTTGCAAGTTTGGTTCTCGTGGTACGGATGCAAAGGGATCTTCTTGAAAGAAGGTGTCCCGGGCATCGACGAGCATTTGCCAAGTATGAGGTTGATACTGGGTACTCCAAATCCAATAGAGTTCGTAACGGGTAGTGGCAACGGGCCGTGCTTCTCGAAAGTCCGGAATGGGTTTCCATTCGGTGGCCGAATACTCAATGTGTCGATCCTTATTGGGTTGAGTGACATTGCGTGTTCCATATAAGACGTGACAATGACAGATGCGAATGCCACCCTTGGCAGATTCGGTGGATTGTCCTTCGGCATTGTAACAGACAAAGGGAACCACGTAGATGATTACGTGTGGATCAGATGCAAAAAAGGAGTGCAATTGGATTTGTCGATCGGTCGGTTTATCGTTGGTATCGGGATTGGCCAAATCGAGTGGTGAAACGGCCAAGACAATGTCACCTTGGAATCCCGTTTTTCGCAACGACAAGATGAATCCCTGGTAAATGGACAAGTCGTATTCGGCGGCAAAGGCAAAGACAGCATCATGATCGGAACGGTGTTGGCCCAAGACGGGTTTGATAATGGGAGCCACTTCTACTACTGTGGGACCACCGCTATTGCCAGTGCCAGATGCCAGAGATCGTTGGATGCAACGCGTGGGAGTCGGAAACTGCGTTGGACCCAACACGGTATAATCACTCAGTGCAAACATACGTAGCTTGCTGATCCGATCCTTGGCGTCAAACTCCACATATTGGGTTTCTTCAATCTTCTTTGTCTCTCCCAGTTGTCTTCTACCACTTTTAACAATACCAGTAGTAACACTAGCAGCACTTGGAATGGAAGGACTGGAATTTCTTATTGCCAAGTAACTCACATCCAGCAGCACAAAACAAACTGACACTGCTAGCACTAACAGCCACTCGGATCGAGTAGATCTCTTAGTAGTAGTAGTACATGTATTACTATTGGTAGGAGTTGCAGTTGGAGAGATCATCATTGCCATGATCATCAATCATGGAAACAAGTATTGTGGATGGAGTTTTGGTTTTGTGCCAGATGCTTCGGAGAGGTCATTTCTCGCTCTGAGAATCGAATCAGGCTAATTACATGTATAATAGTGTTAGGGTGAAACTCTTCAAGCTTGCCGAATTTTGAAGGCGCTGAAACCTGCAACCCTTAACCCTCTCGCTGATGGATATTTTCACCTACCACTGGGAGGGCACTAGAAGCTTCTCTGTCAACTAAGGAGAGGTGCCATAGAGTAGTGCAGTAGTAACTTATTCTAATCTAGCAATTCCTAGGTGCTGGGAGGATAGGGGAGCTCTGCTTGCATCTCGTGTTACCCAACCCCTCACAGCACCGGCGGAGATTAACAAACAAACAAACCTACTCTTTCGGGGTATTTCACCTGCTCTTTCCGTGTACAGTCGTACGTGTCCGCCGATCGCTTTGTTGATGTGGTTAACCACGTGATCCTCTACAATAAAAGTTCATGTACTGGTTCATTTCTCTGTTCATTTCACGAGGATTTTGGAGCCAAAGATTCCTCTCATTGCGGTATCAGGAAGAAACAGTGAAAGCTCGTGGTCTGGATCCAAGGTAGCCAATTGAGGTTTTGCGCACAGATCATGCTGAGCAGCTCTCTTTCTAGGTTCGTCCTCGTGCAAGATTATTGTTGGCTCCGCTGCTGTCAATCAGTGCGCATGCTCGCTTCAAGCAAACTGCATGTGGCGCCTCAACCCTTGTCTCTTCCTCGTAGGGCGGATGCAATGATGGCCGTTGACAATGGTGCTTTGACCGTCCGAGAAAAACAAGGTCACTTCACATTCTTCTCCCAGACTCTCGCCAAGGTGCCATGTTACAGTGCCGCCTTGTGCAGCCGCTTCTTCGGGGCCCTTGTGGAATTGACTTGCCCGGTACCTATTGTACCCCATTACAATTCGCTGGAAAATGGTACCCAAACCGTCATGCAGTTCTTCGTACAGTATGCTATTGCAACAAGTCTTACTACATGTAGTCTAACATTACTTCTTTCTTTTCCTCGTTTTGTCATTGGCAATGCTGCTTATCGGTGGTTCCTTTGCTGTTGGCTTGGAGCTTGGAGCTTCGAGCCTGGATGGTTGAACTCGACGGAAGGAACTATGAGTCATTATATGACTTGGAACAGAAAGGACTTTCTTTCTATCAGAGACTTTAACTCCTACAGCTACTCCTACTCAGTTGCTATTGTTAATAGGATATAGGATCACTTGTCTTCCCACCGAAAGTGTTCCAATGAACAAACTCCAAACATTCTTGAGTTAACGCAACAACGCAACTAGACTACATGTATTGTATGATTGTACCCTAGCTAGCTAGCTAGCTACTCTGGAGTAGCTAGGCCAGATTGCAAGGAGGAATAATATATGACGAGTCTCAGCTCTGAGTTTCTCTAGACTAATGACTCGACCATGTAAATCCCTTGAAAATGTGAGTGATGACGATGAGCCTGCTTTTCGAAGGGAGCACTTTTTCGTTTAAGCGAGAACCGGTACGGTAAGGAAATAGCACGATCCAATAATTAACGGTCTTCTGCTTTTTGTTTGGACTTTAATACTACAGTTGACACAACAATTACAAGGATTTAACAACTGAATCAAACTCACCTGGTGTGAATGCACCGAGAAGATGCACTTGGCAACAGTGCAGCAAGAAACAGCATCCCAAGAAGATGAATCGAATCAATCCGACCAACATGGTGGCAATGTTCAAGGTGGCATACATAGGTCTGCTAGAGACTTTGATCATCAACCAGGCAGCTTGGCGACAACTCGGCAGTAATGGATAGCCTCTTAAAGCGAGCAGAGGAAGAAGCCACACAGCAGTACCAAGATGCAGAATCTGATGCCATGAAAGCTCAAGTAGAAGGCACAATTGAAGCCAAGTCAGAGGAAGATGGAGAAACAGCAAAATTCACAGAGATCGGGTCGGAAGAAGCTGGTCTGGCAACGGCGGAGCATCTACAAGAAGAATCTCAATCAGAAGACCTCCAAAAAACATACAAGACCACTACCAATCAAATCAATGAAACGGCCAAAACTGAGAAGGTGGCAAAAACAACACAAAAAGAGGCAACAGAAAGAGAAAGAGTGCCTCTAGGAAATACCAACCAAAAAGGAGACAGGATCCAGCAAACCACAGTACTATGTCAGACAAGCGGGCCGTCACCACGGTCTACAAAGGACAACCCTGTCGAACAGGTCAACAGAGCCCGTCCCGTTGGCAAAGAAAATACGCTGGAAGAGACCGCAGGCGTGCCTACCAAAGGGTTGCGAAGAAACACAGGGCCGGCAGCAGTAGGGGCACACCATGTAAAACCAAGTGCCGCCGTGGTTGGTGCGCAGGCCCACGGAAATACAACACAAGAGACCACAGGTATGGCTGCCAAAGGGTTACGAAGAAACACAGGGACAACAGCTGCAGAGGCACATTACGTAAAACCGAGTGCCGCTGTGGTTGGTGCTCATGCCCAAGAACACACGCTGGAAGTGGCCACAGGTATGCCTGCCAAAGGGTTACGAAGAAACACAGGGACGACAGCTGCAAGGGCACATCATGTACCAAGTGCCACCGTGGTTGGTGCTCATGCCCAAGAAAATACGCTGGAAGTGACCACAGGTATGGCTGCCAAAGGGTTGCGAAGAAACACAGGGACGACAGCTGCAGAGGCAAATCACGGAAAACCAAGTCCTCATGATCAAGCAACTACGCTGGAAAATACCACAGGTACGCTGGAAGAGACCACAGGTATGTGTCGCACCATCCAACAACAGCGGCAACAAGTCATGGTGCCCGGTGCCTACCCGATGGCAGGGACGGGAATGTCCAACTTAACTATTAATGACGAAGAGGAAGCACCTGTCGATTCCTCATCAGCTGCACTCCAACATGTGTTGGACCCGACCCTATTTCCCAATCAAGCAATGCGATCAGGCGTTACCATGGACCACTTGGCAGTGGCTAACCGAGTCACGGACGACCCAGAAGATTTAATGCATGCGGATCCCGTTCATTTCGAGGAACAATTGAGAAGGAAACAACAAACAAAAAAACAGAGGCAAACAATCCTCTTTATCCTGTGTCTGGTAGTCTGTGCTGTGGCTGCCATTATAGGGACTGTGGCTGGAACAACTGGAAAGGACAATACAGTTGTTGTGTACCAAACGCCATCTCCTACCGTCTTTGGCTCCATGACTCCTTCTGAAGTACCATCATCTGCACCCAGCGGGGTGCTGGACCTGCTGTTGGATAATCTACCCAGTCAAACATTGGCTAGGATCAACAATGGTAGTGAAACTCCTCAGTGGAGAGCATGGAATTGGCTTGCAAACCACCAAAACATCACATGGCTACCAGAATGGAGAAAGGAGCAGTTATTTGCTCTTGCTACATTCTTCTATGCCTTTGAGGGAGAAAAGTGGACTCCTCTCATAAAGGAGAGGTGGATGGATGACTCAGTCGAAGAGTGCTACTGGTTCTCCAGTGGGTTTGGATTCTTTTCCGAAGAAAAATTCTACGAATTTCCCCAGATGTTTCCCTGCAACAGCCATGGTAAATTCACCTCTCTTTGGTTGGAAGACCTCGAGCTTTCTGGTTTGGTGCCTTCTATTCCCCCAGAGATTGCCATGTTGACTTTGTTGTCACAGCTTGATTTTGGTTCCAATGAGATTGGAACATCAATGTCATCTCTGATTCCACTAGAGCTGTATAGGATGACTGCATTGACTGGGTTGACCTTTTTCAATGAACTGTTGACTGGCCCACTCCCTTCTGAGCTTGGACAGCTTACTACTTTGGATAGGTTGGATTTGTACGTAGACAGTTTGACTGGTCAGATTCCTTCGGAGCTTGGGCAGCTGACTGGTTTGACTGACTTGTCATTGGTTGAGGGCCAGTTCACTGGCTCACTTCCTTCTGAGCTTGGACAGCTTACTGCTTTGGAGCAGTTGTGGATCTTTCGAACTCAGTTGACTGGTCAGATTCCCTCAGAGCTTGGGCAGCTGACTGGTTTGTATGACTTGCAGTTGTCTGAAAGTCGGTTCACGGGACAAATCCCTTCCCATTTTGGACTGCTGACACAAATGTTGTACTTGGAGTTGGATGGCAATCAGTTATCTGGTCAAATTCCTTCTGAAGTTCTAAGACTTACTGCTTTGGAATGGATATTATTGGATAACAATGAGCTAAGTGGGCAGGTTTCCTCTGCGTTTGGACAACTCACTGCCTTGGATCAGTTGAATTTGACGGGAAATCAAATCACTGGCCAGATCCCCTCTGAAATGGGACAGATGACTGCTCTGACACGTTTGGGCTTGAATGAAAATCAGGTGACGGGACATGTGCCATCAGAGCTCGGAACACTCACAGGCTTGGATCGGTTGTATTTGCAAGAAAATCAAATCACTGGCCAGATTCCCTCTGAGTTTGGACAGCTAATTGGTTTGACATTCTTGCATTTGGATGGAAACCAGTTGACCGGACCTGTGCCATCGGAGTTTGGCCTTTTGACAAATTTACGTTCTTTGAATCTAACTGGCAACCTTGGCTTTTCTGGCACGATCCCAGAGGAGCTATGTTTCTTGCAGAATGTGTCTTGTATGTATGGGCCCGTTTGGATCGCTCAGCCCTGCCATCTTGGCTTTGACTGCAACTCGGTTTTGTGTGGATGTGATTGTGCCTGTTCCATTCTTCTTTGATGGAAGGAGGAATAGGATAAGTTCGAGCTCTGATTTTCCAAACCTGTCAAAACAGGATCATAACAAACTTTTTAAAACTTTTATGCACCAGGTAAGGGTAGGATACACTCCCACGATATCATATCCATGCTCGCCCTCTTGTCTGTCTAGCTAGTAAAGTTTCATTAATTATAGACCATCAACAGGCCATCAATGCCGTGGATGATACCATTGTCGGCTTGAATGTCTCGCATGCCACCACTCAAAATGTTGGCTGTATTGACACGGGCACCCGTACTGTCAATGCTCACCACAATCTCCGTACCTTGCACGGTCATCAAGCGAGCCCCGTCCACCAGATCGGACGAACGGATGATTCCAGGAACCACATGATAGGCCAACACATTGCGCAATTCCGACAAGGGTTCCGACACGACAAAGTCTTCCAAGGCTTGGCCCGAAGGCAAGGCGCGGTTGGTGGGTGCAAAGACTAGATGCCACAAAAAGATGCGAAAGTATAGATGTTGTGTGGCTGTGAGGGCGTGGCATAGCGATGGCTACGTATAGCAATGTCTTGCTTTCCTGATTCGATCACTCACCAGTAAACGGACCGGGACCCTTCAACGTGTCCACCAAATCCGCCGTAAACAACAACTTGATCAAAGTCTGGAAACCTCCCTTGCGAATCATTCGTTCCACTACGTCAATCGTCTCGGGGACCGGAGGAGTGACGGGAACACTGGCACCCGCAGGAGTGACGGGAAAGAATCGGTCCTCGCTGTCGCGGCTGTTGTCAGTTCGGTCGTAGTCGCGATCCAGCTTGCGTTTTCGTACGGTGCGGGCCGATGCGGTGCTCACGAAAAGTGACAAGAGCGCAACAGAGACCACAAGGACCAGGCGAGGGGGGGGAAATCCAGTCTTCATCGTATGATGCTTTTTGGGTTGCAGTGCTGGCTAATATATAGCAACCTTTTTTCTGTTTCCACTTTGCTCGAGTTTGTAGTTGTGAGACAGACAGAGCAATCTGAGAGGTTTTGGCAGGTGGATCGATCGTGCGTACTGTACCAGTACCTACATCTTGCGCACAAATGCTGAACAGTCAGCATGATGTATACCCGGTATGGATCTTGCTTCTCTTCTATGTTACGTTTTGTTTCCGGATAAGATGGTGTTGCCATCAATGAAGCTGACGGCTTGCTAGATGTTTGGTTAATGATGGCACGCCCAGTCTCACGTGCTGGGGTACTAGTAATGATTCGGGTCGTGGATAAGTCAAATCCTAATCAATTTTTGGGAGCGTTTTCAAAAATGTATTAGAGCTCTCTTTTGAGCTCTAATGAATTTTTGAAAATGCTTCCAAAAATTAATTAGGATCATCCACGCTCTGGAACTCGGAGATCCATTCCTGGGAGCCCGTCATCTTCTTAACGGACTTGTGTGGCCAAAGACATAGATGAGAATGAGATGACGTAGAGATGATGTCATGTTTTTCCAAGAATCGTTTTGCACGATCTCTATTTTAAAAAACAGGGCGCTTGCCTTCCGCAAAGCTCTCGCAATCTCTGAGCTCTAAGGAACAATGGTGGCTATCTGATGGATTGCTATGAATTTAGCTACCTTAGCTGTGCCTCTGGCAACGCGGAACTGACGGCATAATTGATGTTCATGTCATCAATCTTGATGCTGCTTCTCACTGTCACAAGGATCCTGACAAGGTTCTTTGCAATGGTGAAAGCGACAAGAAACGAAAATATCTCGATGTCTGTCTTTCCCAATGCCGCCACTTTACTCCGTTTGTTGTCTCTGCTGATGGTCTCCTTGGGGCCGAAGCTGAGGCGCTCGCGAAACGTATTTCCACTTAGCTCGCTACAAAGTGGGAACGCCCTTACTCAGTGGTGCGTGGCTACGTTAATGCTCGGCTCAGCCTAGCTATTCTTCGGGCCCGCCACCTCTGCATGTGTGGCTCTCGTGTCCCTGCTGGCACAATGAGCTGGGATGCCGGTGGTGCACTTGCACTCTTCCGCTAATTTTGCTCCCTTCTCCTTCCTGGTTTTCCTCCATGCACCCCCTTCCCTGTCCCCCCCTTTTTTGCCCTGCTCCCGTCCTCGTTGCTCTCCCCGTACGCCCACCACCGCAGCCCCTGCTCTGCCTAGCTTCGCCCCCCTCGCTCCTTAATGTATCTATTTAGTATTTGCGTAGACCCTTACCGGTAGCTGAGGAAGTAGCAGAATCGTGCGTGACCTGCTGTTCGATTGCAGACTTTTTTACTGAGAAATGTTTGAATTCTGTAATTCTCTTTCCTGCCATCTTGGGAAGCTCTGATGTGCTGGCTCCTCGGAAGGCAGAGGTAGACTATTGCAAACCGCAATCGCCGTAGTAAAACCATCGAAAATATTTGTGGGCAATCCCACTTTGATGCAGCATAAGTGTGAACGAGCCTTTTCCTCTGAACATGCAGTGGGAGTGACAGTCGCTCGTCATTTTTCCGTCACCACCAAGCACAAGATAATTTCGTGGAACCTCGGGTTACCCCGATGATCAAAAAAGGCCAAGCATCGCGTAGTCCTTGAAAATTTGAAGGAAGCAACAACAGCAGGGATCTATGCAATGGCATCGATACGATAGTAGCAAGGAAGAATGATTTCCAGAAGAAGACAATGCGCTACCGGAATCACCATGTTGTGAGGCTTCTGCTTATATGCACGTGGGTAGCATCCTTGGTGCCCTGCACTCTGTCACAAGCAAGCAATGGTGCTTTTACTAGCGCAAGCAATGGCACTATTACTAGCGTAAGCAATGGCACTAGTGCAAGTGGTACTAAAACTTCTTTCATGCTCTACCAAATCGCTGACAACAACCTTCAACCGTACTTGATGTAAGTCGAGTCCATCACCACTGCATGAGAGACCATTGCGCTTCAATTATACGTATACGTTCACCCGTTGTTTTCTGCTTTCAGGCAAGATTACAAGGAGCTGACCAGTTCTCCCGCCATTCAATCGAACGATTTGGTGACCTGGGTTTACTTTGATGCGCTGGACTCGCAGGGGGGGTGCACTGGCCAACACGATCGATGACTGGCAATAACGTTACCGCCAATTTCAATGGCACCCACTATATGCAGTGGGATCATTCCGTCTCCAAGATGAGAGTCATGCAGCAGCTCACTACCGAGCAAGACTCTGATCTGGTGTCATCGGTACAAAACTTTCAAGAAACGGCTCTTTTGGACTGCCGGAGCAAGGGGCACGACAGTACCATGGCCGTGTTCAGTTCTCATGGCGGCGGCTTTTTGGGATTTGGTGGAGATGACCATAAAGGAAAGCGTAGAAGAAAACACAAAAGCAGACGCGAGCTACTTATCTCCAATGCCAATCTCGCCACAGCCATTGGCGCTGCTCTCAATAACACAGTTGGCAACTCTTCCAAGCTGGACGTCCTTGGCTTCGATGCCAGTCTCATGCAAGCACTGGGCGCTGCGGATAACTACTTTGAAGTTGCACACAACATTCTGGCCAGTGAAGCTGTTGAGCCCGGTCATGGTACGTATACGTGATGTCTTGTGTTGGCTGTTGGAGCAAATGCATTGAGCTTTTGATTCATTCAATATTGGTTGCTTCAACTCTTCTCTGCTCGTTCGTTGTGACGCAGGTTGGGCCTACAACTATATAGAAAATGCCACCAGTGCTCTCTCCATTGCAGAGCAAATCGTGAATGCCTATGTCACTCAAACTCAGGGAGGACGCCATCACCGAACACCAAAGATTCTTGCCATTGTCGATACCATGAGGTTTCAGCTTTTTGTGCCCGCGATGGAAGCTTTCTTCCAGGAATTGCAATCACAAATCACAACGGGGTATCTTGCTGTACATACTTTTACTTCCGCGCCCGATCCAACGCTCTGGCCTTTATGGGGGTCGTCGACGTTGCAGGGACCAAAAATCCTTCCCAATTGGACATTGGTAGTTTCTATGCAGACTTCCAATCTTTGTGCATGCCAGGAGGAACCTTGGCTACTCTGCTCACGGCAGCAATCCAGGCATACAATGACATGATTGTGGTCAACCGTGTGGGACCAGGTACGCCGAATGGTACGGCTATGCATGTCTCCTGGCCAAACCAAGGCGAATACAAAAAGAAGAAATCCACCTGGAACCAGATACTGTTTGACAATCCGGTATATGTGACTCAAATTGCACCCCAATACAGGAACTTTTTGAATTCCTTTTTGAATTCCAAAACACCCGCCAGCAATGGCAGCAGTGTCTGTGCCGCTACAGTAATACCTCAAGGACAACAACAATCAACATCACAAACGGCAACTGGTCGCTCCGGAGTAATATCCAACACCACTCTCGAAGCTACAACGGCTCAATCACCATCGCCGTCCGTGCCGACCTCTAATATAGGCCCATCTGTGAGCCAAGTCGTCGTTCGATACGGTATTGACGTTTCATCGTCTTGGCAGTCGCTTCTTGCACAAAATGGACTAGGGCCAGCAGGAGAAAATTACACCGATACACCATTCTACGTCTTTGGTGGCGACGTGGATGGCACCTATGAGGGATACACCTACTCTACAGAATGGGACAAGACCTTCTACTTCCTCAATCTTTCGTCAGAAGATGGCACCGGCGGCAGCCATAGTCAAATTGAACTCCTGACGGTCTTTGATGAAGGAGCTGGTTCCAAGAGAGTACCGGCGCTATACTTTACTGCTCAGGATGAGAACTCAATATCCAATTTCAACATGTCGGAATGGACTTTAGAGTATGATCAAGACGACTGGATTGAAAAAGGTGCCCTCTTTGGCTTCCTGCAGTTTTCGCTTCCGACCACATGAATCAATCCACCCGCAGCAATGCGGATTGTCACACCAACCATTATACACGGGAGGATATACCAGAACCAACCATTGCAAGTACGGGTCGTAACCGTGGAGTCGTTCTCGGCTAACCCCAAAATGGCAAACGCGGTCTTGTCAGGGGGGAAGTTCACCGCATAAGGTTCCTGAGTGAAGCCACTTTGCGCCGGCAGGCAACGGTGCTCGGACACCGCAAGACCTTCCGTGAAGAAGCGAGTTGGTGAAAAGAAACCACAAATCAATCCGTAGTTCCACTAGTTAGTCGACGTTCATGGCTATGATTTGCAAGGCGGGTACCTGGAGACTCTACCAGGTGGCATCAATCAAACGGTAATCCACTGGTCTACCAACGCCTCATACACAGTCTTTCGTGTCGAAGCGGACGACCTCTTTGAAGAGGTCCCCGCCGCAGATGCGGTCGTGAAAGCAATTCATGCTTACGAACATTCCATAGAGGACGAAGTTACAGTCACAGCCCCCGAATTTGAGATCCTGGATATTCTTCGTCCAAATGCCACTGATGAAGACGACGGCGACGAAGGCGCTGACGACATGGAATTTGTGACTCAGAACAATACAAGCGATGATCATGTGGTTCATACCAATGCCACGACAGACGGATGTGGAAGCAACATATTTTGCCATGATAACGGTGCTGGATCCGCTTCAAAATGCCTCTTCTTCCACACCGAACCCTTCGACAGCACGTGCCAATGCTACGAATGCTACGAGTCCGTCCACTGCAGCACCAACGAATGCTACATCTTCGGTCAACAGACTAGGATGGACCCTGGGATTCCTTGGCGTTGCCTTGTCCCCAGCCTTCGGCTTGACTTTGCTTGACACTTGGCTGTAGTAGATCAACAAAAACCCCGGTCGAAAGAAAACGTTTGTAATTTGTGAGGGCTTCTGAGTCCTGCGATCCTGTCGCTCCAAGAGCCAGATGAGGAATGTTTTCTTACTGCGTTGTTCCCAACTAGATGAGCTACATGCTAGCTAGCTGGGTGTCTGTTGCGTCCCCTGCCTTCCCCCATTTCCTCCTTCTCTTGCACTATCATTGCACATTATAGTAGGAGAAATTGTGGGGGTTGGTGGTCACTCTGACACTACAGCGTGTTTTCTGTCGCTGTGACTAAATCTGAACCCAGGTAGACTTCTCGCATCCTTGCTACTACCTAGTGGGCAGGGAAAGATCAGGGTCTCAAGCACCCAAGCCTTCCAGACACAATCCCTCACTTGCTGCAGCTGGGTAGAATCAAGTACCTCTATCACTCCAAAGTACTTTTCTCATAAACGAGCAGCACACATCAGGCACTGACAGTCAAAGTCGCAGATAGAGCACCAATTACATGGCTATTCTTCTACCCCCATCACTGTGTCTATTCACTGTAGATGCAAAGCACTCAAGAAGATAGACTAGCTATCCAGCGATGGTTCGGTTTTGCGCCGTCCGTATCAGCCACATACATGAAGAGAACATCACCCGCATGAGACATGAGATCACAGCAGGAGTGGTTGGCCGAGAAAGGACCTTGACTATCTCCTGTGGAACTCAGAAGGTCGAGCGCAACTCTGCGCATGTTGCTTATGGTTTGTTGCAACTGTGGCTGAAGCAAAATTCTCATTGGGCTCCCTGTAGGAAGTTGAAGAGCCTTAACTTGACCTTGGCGGGTCATGCTGGGCACCAGACGGGGCATTTGTTAAGCAACAAAAGAACACAAGCTATAATATGTACTTGACGATGAGCATTCCAAGCACAGTACAGTAGCCAGCAACAGCGAGATAAACAGAGCTTGCTCCTCTATCGATAGGTAGGTTTATGCCAGCCATGATCTCCAGTTAGAACAACTACCGGTATCACAGCCACATTAAGAGCTTACCTCACAATTTCTTGCTAGCTAGTAGCAACAAAAGCAGTTACCACCTCCAGCAAAAACCAACACGAAGAAGCGCAGATAGCAAAAGACGCCAAAAGATGCAAGGGTCTACCACGAACAATGCCGCAGCGGTGACAATGAATGATCTATTGGCTGCAACGCAGAATCTCGCTACCATTGACAAGGCTCTTGGGGACATTCGGCGCCTCCTGGAAGCCAAAGCATCCTTGGAAGCGGATGTCCAGGCCCTCAAACTGGAAAAGGCAAGGCTCGCCCAAGAGGTCTCGGCGTTGCGGAACGAGCAAATAGACGCAAGTTCGGTGAGGGCCAGCAGCTTGCCGGATCTGCACTTCGACTACGACGATGACAGTTCCAGCAGCGACGACAGCGAAGAAGAGCTGACCCATAGTGAACGCAAAGCCAAAGCTCCGGAGCGCTTTGTTTGCCCACTTACATTGGAGATCATGAATCATCCCATGCTGCAAAAGGGCACCAAGAACAACTACGAACGCGGTGCCATCTTGGAATGGATCTACTTTGGCAAAGCCACCTGCCCCTTGACGCGCAGAAAGCTACATCCTGGCGACTTTGTCTTGAACGAACCTCTTCAACGTGAAATTGAACAGTGGAGGGAGAAGTATGACATGCAGGACGAATCTGCGCAGGAAGAAGATATGGATTCTTCTGAGCTCGTGCCCACTCTCACGCCGGAAGAGGAACAACGTAATCAGAAACGATTGTCTTTGGTCCAGACCAAACGAAACGGATCCACCAAGAACTTGATGGGCCTACGGGAACGCATCCTTCGAAAGCGTGACGCTCGTGTCGAACGTCGCATGTCTCAACGCTAGCTAGAGTTGCAGCAGCCTCTTAGAGCCCGTGTGTACCAAGCCTCATTTCAGTGAGGGAGCTGCCGTTGCCGAACTGGATCATAGATTGGGTTGACATAATACCTTCTTATTAGAACAAAACGAGTGTTGAGTATCTTGGCTGTTCTGTACCTGTCTGTACCAAGGTTGTAAAACTTGGACTCGGATTTGGCTGAACGCTCGATCGTTGTGCATTGCTCCGAACCAAAGCAAAACCCAAAGACTCCAGACTTCTCTGGCCACGATTGTATGCAGCTATAGAACAATGCCGACCTTTCTTCGTTTGGCGCCTGCTAATGATGAACCATGACGCGGTATCCGAAGTTGATAAAAAGCTACAAAACAAACTGATTTGCCTTTATTTGAATGAAGCCCGATCCCAATGACACGTTGAAACTTGCTTCCACGCTGACGTCAGAGACGTTTTTGAAAGCACGACTTGAAGAAGATTCTGGTTTTGTTGGGGGATCGAGTTTGAAACCAGTTTGACACGAGGTTGAAATGAGAGCAAGTGGGACGGGTGCCTTTAGCAACCATATGGCCATGCTACAGTATGCCATCACGTGTATAAATAGTTACCGCCAGTTAGTCCCGTTTCCGGTTCACCTGCCACCTGCACCATTCCAAAATTGGTCCCCATATTCCAAAATTGGTCCCCATATTCCAAAATTGGTCCCCACATTCCAAAATTGGATCTCGTGCTATTTCATCTACATCAATGCGATCGTCGGCATGGGAAGGATAGTCGACATCAACCAGCGCTGGAAACCGATATTGGCAACATGCGGTTTCGTAGTAGTGGCAGCTTTGGGGTTTCTCTTGCAGTTTGGAGTGCACACACAACCACTGCAGTACGGTGACCTGCAAATTTCCATTTCAACAGTCTTTTACCTCTTTCTGACTCCCATGTATGGATTCGCTAGAGACAGCTCCTGTTACCGAGAACCTCATCGAGTGCTCTTCCGATGTCTCTGCTGCATCCTCTTGGCATGGTACGTGAATGCCCTGTGGACGTTCCCTGACGGCCCCTTCACTCTGAACGCTTCCTTGAAGCATAGCATTGGTGAGTCCAGTCGGTATACTATTTGCACGGCGATATTTAGTTTTCTGCAGCCATGGCATGAGCTTGCCCCTCATTTTGTGTTCTGATTGCCGTCCGTCAACTCTCCAGCTGGCGTTCTTCTGCTCCTGTCGCATTCCATGCTTGCCTGTTGGTTTCTGTTGGTGGCACAGGGCTGGGGCACGCATGCCTTTCCTGAAGGGTCCCGTGCCCAGCCACTATTTATCTTGGCTGCATGCCATGGCACAGTGGGGAGTATTGTCTATCTTCTTCTTAGCTTCCAAGAAACGCTCGTTGAGAAAGATTATACCAGTACAACATGGAGCAGTTGGCAACTGAAACTGGTAAGGACTATGGATTTGGGGATATTTATCCTGGGCGCATTGTACTGTTTCCTGTTTTTGGTGTACATTCTGTGGTGCAACAAGAGCTTGATGGGTACCATTCAGAGGCTTTCTGAGGCTGACGACCATTACAATCAGCGGAGATACAGAATTGCACGGGCAGCATTCTGTGTCTATGTAGTTGAATTGCTGTCGTTCAGCGTTGGTTTGATTCCTGCCTGGCAAATTCTGAAACTGCTGAATCATGTCTTTGGGTTGGTCTTTGTTGGGATTCTGGCATGGGTCTGGTGGCCTCATCCTCCTGAGACTTCTGCCTATGGATCGATTTCGTCATCCGAGCCTGACGATGGGATTGAGCTTGGAGGAGGCGGTAAATGCGCTGGAAAGGCTATCGACACGGCTGATGGCAATAACAAGACGGACACCGTTTTATTCTCCTGTTAGAGAAGACTCTTTAATTAAACAGCATAATTTCTGTCGCAAGATTTTTCTGTTTCGTCTACGGTAGCATCAAGAAGTGGCTCCAGAGTTCCAGCTGTTAGCAGTATCCTGATTTTCGCCCTTTTTCTAAGAGCGTCACCACGCTCCGTGATCTACAGTTTCAACAAGGCAGGACACCTTGGCGAGAGGACATCGGCTGCACCAGCCGACAAGTGTAGATTGAATGGTCTTCACTTCACCTTGTTTCTTGCGTGTCCGGTGCCCGAACAGAAGGAGTCCCATAGTAGAACAAAGGTGTGTCCTCCGGAGAAGGGTGTTCCAAGAAGCCTCAAGACCGTGGAGGTTCGTCGTGGAAGATGCGAGGTTCCCAAACTTCGAGCCTCTCCCCCTTCGGGCGTCCCCTTTTCCTTGCAGTTGAAATGGTGGTGGTCTGTGGCAACGTAGGCTGGTGGAGTCCATGGGCGGCAGCGTCATTGCCTGGGTTGGCAGAACCGTGTGACCCAACAAAGCCTTGCGAAAGACTCAGCACGTCGATTTCTAGCCCTAAGATACCTCATATTTAAATAAATAAATAAATAAATAACTATAAAGGGGATTACGTGAAAGGGACGGTACTAGGTAACGTCCGCTTGTAAAAAGTAGGGGAAGGGATCAAGGGGTTCTGGGCGTGAAGTAGGCATATATGGACCGGCAAGAACTGAGGACGGGGATGAGCCGGAGGAATAGAGGGATCGAGCTTGGCGTGTAATAGCGCGTTGAAAGTGTTGTGCTAAGTGGGTAGATAGATTGAGGGCAAGGGATTGGTGTGCCCAGCGTGAAGGTGTGTAGGGTTGGGTGTCAATGGAGTAGTTGGTGGGGGTGACAAAGTGGGTATCAGCAGTGGGGAGAATGGCGGTTGGGGCTGAAAGGAGTTGGCTGTAAGAGCGTTGGGAGTGGGTGGGGAGTTTGGCAGACCACGGGGGTGCTGGGAGGGGGAATGGTTGGCGAGCGGAGCCGTAGAGGAGGGCATGGGCGAAGGGTCCCAGTCCAAGAAATGGGTCCACTGTGAAGGGGAGCAGGATGATGCCTGCATTTTGGAGAGCAGTAAAGTATTCAGCGGGGACAGTGCGAGATTTTGTTGTAAGCTTACTTCGAATCGACTTGAGATGGGCCTGGGAAAGGGTTTTGGGTTGGTGGGCAGACCGGGCACAAGAGGATTCAGGAGGGCTGGTAACAGTAATGTCGATAGCGAGGAAAGAGGATGGAGTGGTAGGGGGAGGTCGAAGGCAGGAGGAGTTGAGGGAGATGCCAATATCGGCAGGGCGTTGGTTGGGGTAGCCCTGGTTGTCGAGGAGGGCTTGGGTTTCGCAGGTGACTCCGTCCTTGGATGGAGTGATGCCAGCAAGGGGGGCAAGGTGAGTGAGGACATGGTACACAGTGTCACGAATGCCATCACTTAGCCGTTTCTTGCTGTAGTGGGTGCATTGGAGGAAGTGGTCACCATAGGGGTCTAAAAGAACTCGTTTGCAATGGTGGCAAGGTTGGTTGGAGATGGCTGGGGGGAGGATGGCTAGTCGGAGTTTCCGTTGGTAGAGGAGCTGGAAGATGTCATTGGAAAGCCTGTTGTGAGGGAACCGGCGGTTGTAGGACCGGAGGGGGATGGCAGTGTAGTGGGAGAGGATGGAGGGGAAGATGGCAGTGGTGGAGGCAGGAGCAGTAGAGAGGAATGGGTCGAGGTGCAGGCGGGTGGTTTTGGTGTAGATGGCAGAGGCAAGGCCTTGGAGGTTGCCATCAGTGACAAATGTACTGGGGGAGAGGGGAGGATCAGAGTGGTGGGACGGGAGGGAATGGTAGTGGGGTAGGAAGTGGGGCAGGAGGGTGGTGAAGAGTTGGAAGAGGGGGACAGTTGTAGATGGACGCTGCCAGGATGCAAGGGTGCGGGCCATGGTGGTGGGGAGGGAGGCAATGTGGTTGGGACCGACATTGATGCCGCATATCGGAGGTTCCGGGTGGTGGAGACAAGGAATGCTGTGATGGAGGAGACAGAGTGGTTGCGTGTGCCCAAGCCGCCGGCAGATACAGGGAGATGCAGGAGGTGTTGGGAAACAGGGGAGAGGGAGGTGGCCGCGCCAAGTTGGGAGAGGAAGGAGTGGGATGCAGTGGAGATGGTGGACTGAAATGGGGAGTGCCAGTCGAAGAGGGTGGATGAGGTGATGGTGGTGGGGTCTAAATGATAGTAGACATCGGCTGCAAGGAGGTGTTGAATGGAAGGTAGGGCACAAGAGTGGAAGAGAAGGCACTTGGTGTGCAGGTCGGTAGTGCTGGTCCACAGCTTGGAGAGGTTGGTGGTGTATTTGGTAGCAGCTTGGGTGAGGTAGTGGTCAGCGAATGCTTTGGAGCCAATTGGTTGACCCAGGAATCGGACACCGGCGGTGATTTCGGGGTTGACAAGGGAGCCTGCTTGGTTCTGGATGAAGAGGACAGCAGCTCGGACATGGGGGTCTTTGGAAGGGGTGCCGGAAGTGTTGGTGAGTAGTTTGGTCTTGGAGTAATTCAACTGTAGGCCGAGTTCTTTACCTTCGGTCTGGAAAGTGGTAAGGAAGGGGACGATGTCTGGGGGGAGGATGAAGGTGTTGGTGTCATCAATGTAGGAGGAGACAGTGGCGTGGGAGCCGATGCCATCATCGCCTGTGTCGCCTTGGGCAATTCGAAGGGCAGCCTGCTGTTGAAGGAGGGCAAGAAGCTTGGACAGGAGGAGGCAAATGCAGAAGACGGAGGCAGTGGCAGCCAGGGGGCAGCCTTGGGCATGGCCTTCTTTTTGGATGAGGTAGCAGAGGGTTCCAGTGTCATCATAGTAGTAGCAGCCAGCGATTGGGGTTGCCATAGCACAGGTCGTAGAAGGGTATAAGGCAGGAGAAGTCATCAGATTCAAACAGGAAGTCTTGCACAGCAGCCCGGGAGCATTCATTGAACATGTTGCGGATATCTAGTAGGAGCAGGACTCGGGAAGCCTGGAGAGGGTTGGGGGAGGAGGTGACATAGCGATGAAGTTGGGCTCTGGCACTGTCGACCATGAATTGGAGGCCACCTTTGACAGAGATGGCAAACTGGCCATAGGGAAGGAGGAAGGAAGCCAGCTGAGTCTGGAGGATTTGCATGGCATATTTACCACTGACTCGTCGGAGGGCACTTCCCATCCCGATGGGTCGAAGTTTGGTGGGGTCATCTGGGTCTTTGTGAAGCGCCATAAAATAATTAGCGGAGAAGCATACGGCAAGCTTGGGAGGGATCTTGTTGTCGAGGATGAGCTGAAGGACTTGGCTGAGGGCAGGGAGGTATGGCTGATGGGAGGTGCCTTTGGGTTGGTAGAGGCCGAATCCTTTGACGGTTTCTGGGAGGTCAGCAAAAGGGCCAGCAGCTGTGCCTCGCTTGAGGTGTCGAAGGGAAGAGGTAAGGGTGGGGAGGTCCATTGGGATTTGAGGTGGTCGACCAGACTGTCGGGTGGATTTGGGGTGTTTGGCAACATAGGAAGTGGGTTCTGGGTAGAGTTTCTCACAGAGCACGCGGACTTCTGGGGTGATGGAGGCAACTGGGAGGGCAGACACCACACGGGCATAGGCCGTATGGTAGTTGTCTTCATCGGCGGCAAGCTGGGCAGCTGCAGCATTGGAGGAAGGAGTTGATGCTGGGCGAGGAGCGGCATGGGCTTGTTCATACAGGGATCGTGCATGACCATGCTTGAAGTGGCGCAGGCGTTGTTTCACTAGGTCGTTGACAGAGATGTGGCAACCAGGGGGCTTGGGGAAGAGGATGAGCATGTCGAAGATGAGGAGTAGTGTCCAGAAGGGGAGGGACGTGGACTGATGGGACGGTTGGGAGGCTTGTGGAGGGAGTGGGGTGGTGGAGAGCTGGATCCATTGATAGATGTGATGGAGAGAGGCATAGTAATAGGACTTGGTTTCTTGGGACAGGCGTCGCCAGAGGTTGGTTCGGTAGGAGGGAGGGAGGGGTCCAACTGGGTGAGCCAGAGGAGGGTGGGTTCCCATTCAGCAGGGGTGGAGTGGCGAAGTGTTTGTTGGATGAGTGTGATGTTGGAGTCAGTTCTGGGGGTAGAGGCAGCAGTGGGGGAGGTGGAGTGGTCCTTGGTGTTGTGGGCTTTGAGATACTGAGAGCCATGAGCCTGGGATTTGAAGAGGTAGAGGCGGTTGCATGGTCTGCAGATAGCAAGCCCTTGTTGGGCAAAGAAGGCGTCAGACTTGTGGAAGTACGTGGGGGATTTGTGGGTGGTGAGGATGTGGTGCTTGAGTGTGGCATTGGAGGTGAGTAGTGTTGGGAGTGGGGTTGTGAAGATACACAGGGGACATTGGAGGGGTTGTGGGTGGGAAGAGGCAATATGGTGGGTTTGTTGGAGCAGTGGGGGTGATGCTTCCTCTGTACTTTGCCAAGTACAGTAGGGACACCCTAGGCGGTTGGCGAGGGGGTACGGTCAGCAGGAGGTCCACTGGGCTTGGTGCTGTGGGAGCTAGGTTTGGTGGTTTGAAGGAAGCGGTTGAAGGCAGTGTTGAGGTTCTGGGGGGTTCCATGGTCTGCAAGGGTGTCGAGGAGGAGGTGCATGAAAGGGCTGTAGTGCTGGGGGTAGTGTTCAGCGACAAGATGACGGGCAGTTTCAAATCCACTGATGGCTGTGGAGCTTTCGGTGATGCAGTAGATGATTTCGGGGAGGTCGGTGTAGTCGGGGTTGGTAAAGATGGTCGGGGGCCATTTGGGGTTTGGGAGGGGGTACCGGCGAGGTCACCATCATCAGCATCAACATCTGCAGCGTCAATGGACATGGAGTCCACGGGGATGGCAGTGGGGGGAGTGGTGGGTGAGGTGGCGCGGGTGCGCTTGGGCTGGGACTGGGACTGGGAGTGTTGGGTGGTGGGTGTGGTGGGTGTTGGTGTAGCTTTGGGAGGAGGTGGAATCATGTGAGCTGGGAGGCCATTGACAAGGTAGGGGGATTAGGGGGTAGCCGGTGACTTGCG